TAACTTGACAGTTTTTGTTTGAGAAAATTAGATCATACTAGTAGTATTTTGATATTAATTTTCTTAATATGATTTTGTTTTCTCTGTTTTTTCCTCTTACCGTGGAAAAGACTAATTATATAAAAATCTATCAGCGCTTGTTCTATTTTGGTTTCTTGTGTTGATATGTTGTTTTAGTTTACTATGATGTGTCTGTAGATGTATTTATCCCTAAATTTTTGGATCCTAGCGCCTGTTTGGATTTTAAAAAAAAAAAACAATTTTTTAACAGCCGAAACCGTGATTTTATTAAAATAGTAGTATATCTAAACACTTTGTTAAAATCGAAATCAATTTTGTACATTGGATTTTTTTATAGGTAACTATTACTTGCTTTCCAATTTTACTATTTAATTATATTAAAAAAATCAATCTTATTAATCAATTACATTCAAATTTAATTTTTCTAGCTCAAATCCAAGTCCACCCGATATTTCTTTTGCTCCAAAACAAAAGGTTCTAATGCTGTAGGCTTGAAATACTTTATATATTTATCCTAAGGAAAAATTAAGTGAATGTATCTGCAGGTAAATGATGTAGAAGTGGAAGTAATAGAAGGAGACGCCAGAAACGTGCTTTGCGATGCTGTGGACAAACACCATGCTTCTATATTGGTTGTGGGAAGTCATGGTTATGGAGCTATAAAAAGGCATGTAAATTTCCCTGCCACTAACCATTATCGCAGTTTTATCTTAGAATTTTGGGGAGATTATTATTTCTTTAAATCATTCGGCTGTTGTTTTCTCAACACTTAGCTTAAAATTGTTATGCAAACATCATTAATTAATATAGGAAATTTTTTTTGTTTTAAAAAGAAGAAAACTTCCATTTGACATGCTGATGTTGTGTTCCTGCAGGGCTGTGTTAGGGAGTGTGAGTGACTATTGTGCTCATCACGCTCACTGCACTGTGATGATTGTAAAGAAGCCAAAACCCAAGCACTGAACTGATATGCATGCTTTGGTTGCCTCTAATAAGTACTTCTCAGCTAGATATATATTGATCATAGGGTTCCCAGAACATTCAAAGTCATGGTTGTTCTGTATATTTACCATATCAACTATCAGTTAAGGTTGAATATTGCTATGTTTATAGCAATGTAACTATATATTTAGTGTGTGAATGTTGGGCTGGTTTGTTTCCTTGTTATTGTTTTACTTCATTAAGTGGAGGTTTGGAAATCAGGTAAATAAGCCAATTTTATGTTTTACAATAAAAAAACATTTCTCGCTTACTTCGCACAACCTAAAATCACTTGAAATAACCAGTGTGTTGTATCATGCTCACAATGAAAAAGCATAGTTGGTTTATGGGCAGAAATTGTTTAAATATATTTATTTATTCTTTTGGACAGCGTAAATTTTGATGGGATATTGCTAAAAAGGGCTTAAAAGCAAAGATATTTTGTAAGAATGGATCAGAATTCCCTCTTTCGAATATGGGGAAAAAGTTGGGGGGGGGGGGGGACCCGAAGTTAAAGCTATATAAAAAGGAAGACCAGTTGCAGATTTTTTGGTGTGCAGAATTTGCATACTTTGTCAAAATGTTAAAAATCTACAACTGATTTTCTTTTCTTGGCATTTTTCCTTCCATGTTTTTTAGTGGTGTTTAAGGAAGAGCATTCTTAATTCTTTTTGCCAGATATTTTTTTGCGCTTACAATTTCCCCTAAATTTAATCTGAATAATTTGAAAAAAAAAAACCCACGATATCGCAAAAATGTTTAACGAGTGCAATGATATTAGTTGAATACAGAGGACTACAAAATCTCTTCTTCTTCTTCTTTTCTCTCCTTTAAAGCATAGGTATTCTACTATTGGAGACAATCATATTCAAAACATCATCGTATACTAAATGTGGACACCTCTCCTAATAGATACTCAAATCTTGATTCGTCATGTTACAAGAGATTAGTTTCTTTTGTTAGACCTAAATCGTGTTGACGGGGGATTACAAAATCTTCTTGTGCACTTTTGAGGGCTTATAAATGAAGCCTCTGAGTTCGATGGGCCGCTCATACTTGTCGGCCACTTCGCCTCTTGATAAATATTCTCCATCCATTTTATTTTGAAACGATTCGCATTATGTTGTCACCACTTTACCATTCTTAATCTTTAAGCCTTTCAAATGCCTTTGTGAAATTTCTATGCGACTTCCATTACGAAATATATCAAATTCACTGGATGCTGACACATAGGGGTGTGCAAAAACTCATTCGGTAAAACTAAACCATCTTATGAAATTGGACCAGATCAGATCATATTGGCTGGTTAGAATGAACTGAATTTCAGAGCATGTGATCATACCACTTGATCTACTCTAGGTGCATATTTTGTAATCTGGATGTTACTTTTTATTGTTGTTGGATGTTTTTAGAGATTCTCATAGGTTTATGATTAAGTTTTAGTGTTTCGGAATGATTTCAATACGATTTTAGGCATTTCATATTGTATTGATCATGTTGATCAGGTTGAAATCTTGCTTGTCGGGGAAAAAATGAAAAGCAAATTGAGATCCTGAACTCCTTAAACTAGTCTAGACAGTTCAATAAACCACATCCAATATAGCCTAATCTTAGATTTTTGTTGAATTAGATTAGACCACAAACTGCCAAATCCAACTTAGATCAAGTAATTTAGGTACATTAAGCCTAGTTAACCAATTAGATACCGCCATCCGGATTATTTTTCTTTTTTTTTTTTGTACGGATTATTTTTCTACATTAGCCCTTAACCTCTTAAACCGCAGTTAGCCACTAAAATTTCATTAAAAAAAATAAAAAAGAAAAATGAAGGCAGTAGCTGCGGCGAGTAAAGGTGGGAATCAGGACTGGCCCCTCAGGGCTGGCAGGCTTAAAAGGGCTGGCCCTCCAGAACCGAAATTTCAAAAATATCTCAATTTGCTAGGTCCGGCCTTTAAGCTACAGGCTCAGGGCCGGTCTGTGGGCTTTTGGTCGGTTTGAGAAAAAAGTTATTTTTTATATTTCTCATATTTTTTATCAAAAAAATAAAAATAAACCAATAAAATTATTAATAAAAGACATAAATATGAATAAAATTAAGTCACAAATACAAAATATTATCATATATAAATATTCATCAACATCTAAGAACATCTAAAATATTCATTAACAAGATAACAACATCCAAAAGTTTTATCTATAGTGCAATTGTGCAATAAATAAACACTATCATTAATCTTTTGAAACTTTATCGTAACTTAAATCAATTACTCTTCTTCATAATTATGCTTTTCTTTTGTAACAAAAATATCAAGTTTTTTTTCTTTATAGAAATTTTACTTTTAAATTTTGCAATCTAACTACTATTTTACTTTAAAGTGAGAAACATTATTGTTGAAACTCATAAATTTCTAATTCAAATTATAAAATCATAAGTTATATAAGTATAAAAATACTCTATTATCAAATATATATATATATATAGTTTAAAAATATCAATGCATATAATATAAATCAAATCATTATTAAAGTCCAAATTAACTCATTTTTTAAAAATTTAATTGGATAAATTATTGTCTAAAACTAAATAAATCAAATCATTCTGTAAAATATAATTTTAAAATGATAATAATAACTAAATATTTGAAATATTATTAACTAAAAAATTAATAATATGAGAATTACATAAAAAAATTTAAAAAACAAAAAAATTATAAAATGGCCTAAATGGGTTGGTTCTTTTAAGCTCTCGGCCCTCCAGAGCCTATTTCCCATTTGAAAGGAAAAATTTCAAGTCCAACCTCATAATTTTAGAGTCTAAACAGACCGGCCCGACAGGCTTGACCAGTTTTTCTGACTCTAGCGGTGAGAGAGAGAGAAATCAGAACAATGAAGGGTGAGAGGAAATAATTAATAATTAAAAAAAGGAGCAAGTGAAGGCTAGGAAATGATCGAGTGTCCGGTTGAAAAATAAAACTGTAGAACTTAAAACTCAGGCCTTGAACAACTTCAATTTCCTCTTGTTTAAAAAATAAATTGTCAGTGTGCTAGATAAAAGTTGTTCCTAATGAGAATGATTTCTTTGTATTCTTGAGCTTGTTGAGCCCGTGGAGGAATTTAAGTGTAGTGTCTTGGTAATTATTCTTCAAAGTGTAGCATCTTCATATTTTATTTTACTGTGTGTTTATAGGGTCTCCGTGAAAAAAGCATTATTAAACCAAATACTCCTCCGATCCTTAATATATAACCTAATTGTTGAATTGATGTTAGTTCTAAATATAAGACTTATTTCTCATATTTATCAATTTTTTCTAAATTATTCTTATAGATACTCCCTCAACCATAATTAAATAGAAGAGGACGGAGGATATTAAGAACGGTGTTATAGAAAAGACATGTCATATTTATTATAATTAACTAACTTATCTAATATAATCAGATTAGTAAAATATGTCTTATATTAAGAACTGGAGGTGTATATTGTCAATTCATGAATTCTTTTCCCCAACCCTTCAACAACAAATCAACACAATGGTATAATAGTTAATTGCTTGTGTTTTGGTCTTCTTCTTTTTTTTTTTCCAATTCTTTTTTTAAAGAAAACTATGGGAAAACGCGACAAACATAGAGTATTCGATTCTCTCTGCTTTTCTTGCTAGCGATTTTCTTTTTTTTGGTTGCTAGCGAGTATTAGATTCTCTCTTCGTCTATAAACTGAAAGGGTTCAATAAAAAGAACAAAATTGTGAATAAAGATCTTGAGTGGATTTAGCCAACCGATTTGTATATTCCTTGTATTTGGGTCCCCTTTTTGGGCTAAAAGTCCAAATCCCGAACCCAGTCAAAAGCACTACATTTCACTTCGGCCCAAAGTCCACAGTTCAGACGACGAGGTCGTCAAGTGTCCAAACATTGTACCCAAAAAAAAAGTGTCCAAACATTATTTAAAAAAAAAGAAAGTCTCCCGGCATCAGCCGTGAGCGGTGAGCCCCGACTTCTCTTTGTAGCATTTTTGCTGTTATCGTCATCTCATTTCTTCTCCTACTTCCGAAATAGCATTCTTTCCATTAGTTTGAATTCAATTCTTGTCCACTAGTAGTGGGTTCCTCTCAAAGTTGGAAACAAAGTGCAGAGCTATGGCTTTGGTGGGTAAAGCAAGAGAAGCAGGGATTCCATTGATGAAGCTGATTAGATTAAAAGGGGTTCCTATTTTGGAACAATTGTACTTAGAGGAACGGCTGCTTCGGACTAGTTCAGATAATTGGTGTCTGATTAATGAAGGAACAAATTGCCCTGCCATTGTCATGGGTTTGTCTGGGTATGTTTTCATTCTTTTTATTGGTTCGGCGAATTGAAGTCTGATGTTATTCTTATATTTCCGTTTCAGTTATGCATTTTCCCAATTTTAGGTAGGTTTAAGGATCCAATATAAACTAATATCAAATTGTTGTAAGTTAACCACACCACTTGAAGGACTCATGTTACTGACTTTTTGTTTACACCTATCTTGGGTATAAACTGGAAGGAGTCTATATTATGATGGTTCACATTTATAGTCCGGAACCAGAGGTTGGGTATTGTTGGTCTTCTTTCTTTCCTAATGATATATATATATATATATATATATATATATATATATATCTGTGTGTGTTTGTGTGTGTTACTTGCGAATGGCTGCTTCGCCGTCTGCTGCTGATATGCCTAAGGAGAAGAAAATTTTATATCTTTTATTTCCTGCTTTTGGTAAGAATCAGCATGACAGTGAATTTTCTATCTGAAAGTGGATGTTCTAAATAGGAAACTTTCAGAACTTGTTGAAGTCAGGTCTGTGTTGCGGGATCAGATTCCTGTCATCAGGAGGTTTTCTGGGGGAGGCACTGTTATTGTTGACCAAGGAACTATATTTGTTACTCTCATATGTAATAAAGATTCTGTTCCAGATATTCAGCCCTTTCCTCGTTCCATCATGTCATGGAGTGGTCAGTTATACAGTGAAGTTTTTGAAGGGATTGGTGATTTCCATCTTCGTGAGAATGGTACATAGGTTTCGCCTTAATCATTGTGCTTATTAGTTTTTCAAGTCAATTTAGCTGTCGCGTTCTTCAAATCCTGGGCTTAGATCCAACAAACAAAAATATCATTTTGGGGTTGATATTATACCATTAGGCTTTTAACCATATCGGTATAAAAGACTTGAAAAGTGTTATCCTTTTCGCAACTTGATTTTAATGATTTTCTGTCTGTTCTATGCTCATTGAACAAAGTGTATATGATAAATGTTACACTCTTCACTCTTCATCTTTTTTCTCCTTTTCTATTGATTTGGACTTTTAAAGTAAGCACAAATGTCTAGCATTTGGAACGTTTCTGTATCACTTTCAAGGATCATGTAATGAAGTTTTGATGGAATCAAATTTGTATTGTTTTCAAGAGTCATATAATGGAATGACGATTCCTCTTTCCTTGTAGATTATGTGTTTGGTGATCGTAAATTTGGTGGAAATGCTCAATCTATAATCAAGCACAGGTGGGTCCACCACACATCCTTCTTGTGGGATTATGAGGTCAAGAACATGGCCTACCTCAAGTTACCAGCAAAGGTTCCCAATTACCGACTTGTAAGAAATTATTTTTGTGACTGCTAATGATTTTTCTTTAAAATTTTTGAAATTTTGAAATGAAAATATTGTTGGTTCTAGTTTGATGGAATCAGTCAGTGCTAATTCCTTTTGTTACCTATCTACAATTTGTTGGTTTGAATAGTTATTACTTCTCTAAACGCAGAGCTAAGATATTGCTTATTATCTTTCTGTATAGAGAGAAAAGGAAGGGGATGCTATTCTGCATTATGCCAGTTAAAACATAAAATCATTTTATACTGAATGTTGCCTGTTAAGGACACGTCCAGTGTCTGTAACGTAATTGTTCTCATGTGTTAGTGGTTTTAAACACGACAATGGAAAGTTTACATCACATGATGACATGTTGATATCAGATCAATCCCTATCATTTGCTCAAACAAGGCTCACAAGATATCATTATGAGTCAGCCAATCTTAGAAGCTCAGGTTTGAGAAATGAGAATGAGTGCTCTCCAAAACATGTCGGACTTAAATCTATATATGTTCTTTGATAATAAAATGGATTCTTGTCTTATGGGTTTTGAATGGCCCTTTGCTCTTTCGGAAGCCAATGCCAGCTACAAAGTGCCACCATAACAATACTTTCTTACAATTTCAACGCTCTCTTCTGCAAACATGTACTGATTAAATACAAATGATGCCAACTGCACTTAATTAACTTTTGTATATAAAGTAAATGTGATTTGCTAGCTAAATACATTCATACATGTGCCATATCACGAATAAATTCTTATCACTGTTATAATTTTAGTTAAGCAAAAAGAAAATTTTCTAGAGATTTCTTGTTCACTAGTGATATAACTCGTTGATTCTCATTGAACTGAAAGAAAAAAGATGTTAAAACTTAAAAGAGAGTGAAGTGTCTGCATATATCCACAATTATATATATTCTCAATGAATGGTCTAATCCTCACAGAAGCAAGAAGAGCTTGAGACTGATTTCCGAGAATCTCTGAACTGCATGACACAAGGAATGAGTACTTATATCTGGCGCCTATTCTCTGTATAATGGGCTTCAATGGTCTATCATTGTTTCAGGCTAGAAGCCTATTATTTCGTTCTGCGTTCCTTAGAAGCAGCATCTGTGCCTATTAGGGATATTTTGTTTTGCTCTTTTGGGATCTTCATATTGGCTTTAGGATATGGGAGTTTTTCCTTCATTATAATGGGCTTCAATGATTTATCGTGTTTCAGGCTAGAGGCCACACAGACTTTGTATGTCGAATGAAGGAATTCCTGCCTCGCTCAGAATTTGTACAGAGAACAATTAAGGCAATCAGATCTCGTTTCTCTCTGGAACCTGTGGCCGATAATATTGAAGACATAGATGTTCCCTCTGCAACGCAGTTTGCTCCCAGCACTAGGCTTCTCACTGATCATGACATGAGGGAAGTATGTGCCGCTTCAGTTTGAAAACACCAGTCACTTGTCAGGATTAGCTCCTCTTGTGTAATTTTTTTCCCTCGGAAAATTAATCTTTTAGGCCCTTTAATTTTGACTCAGTTTCTAAACTTTAATTCGATGTAATTTATCCCTAAAATTTTGACTTGTTCTAACTTAATCAATGAACTGACTCAGCTCCTAACTATTTAAAACTTTAGTCCCTATCATGAAATACATGATTTTATTTTTTTTAAAATATAGGGACTAAATTTTTAAATGGCTAAAACTATAATGACTCATAGGATTGAGTTATAACCGTGTCAGCATTATAAGAATTGAGTTGCATTGAGTTAAAGCTCAGATACTAAGTTTCAACTGAGTCAAAATTGTAGGAACAAAAAGATTAATTTTTCTTTTTTTCCCCTTTAATTTGCAATAACGAATTTCATGATTCTCCTTAAAAGTATATTATTGAACATATTCTTTTCAATCCAATCATTATTAGTTTTTATTTGTTGATTTTTACGCCCCTTCTAATGACATGGAGTTTTTATTAGCGAGTGAAGGACAATTTTGCTTGATGCTTAATTAAAGATAAGTAATTTTGTAAAAATTAAAGGGTTAAGATACAAATGTGCTCGAAAAGTTTTCACTCAGAAATACTGGTCATAACAATGTTGCTTTATCCTGTTAAAAATATAATGTTGACCATTAAAATAGTAATGTTAACTATTAAAATAATAATGTTGACTGTTATCAGTTTTAATCGTAGGAGGCAATATTAATATGATTTTAAACTTTTCGGGGTAATTTGCACAAAAAACTTTTAGGTACCCAATGTTTTGGAATGAAAACTTTCAGATAGAAGAAGGCAATATTAATATGATTTTAAACTTTCGGGGTAAGTTTGCACAAAAAACTTTTAGGTAACCAACGTTTTGGAATGAAAGCTTTCAGAATAAATTTGTATCTTAATCCAAAATTAAATTATGAGTTTTGTTGAGACATATAAAGACACACTAAGATTTCTTGAATTTCATGTGTTTCTGGGGCCTATATGGAGTAGCGCTTAAAAGCACTTATAAGTATGTTTTACTTAAATTAAAATAAGACTTGTCTAACATACTTACCTCGTATTCCGTAAATTATGATAGAAAAATCTACTCATAAGCTACTCCTCCGGTCCTAAATGTAAGACCCTTATACTAGTGTGTATAAGGGTCTTACATTTAGGACTGGAGGAGTATTTCAATTAGGCCCCTATTCAATAGGAAGTTAATAAATTTTTTGATAAAAGAACAATTTAATTTAATTCAACCTAAATAAACTAATTACATGAAAGAGCTTGTCAGTGATATTTGGGGGTATTTGGATGAAAACCAAACCATGATTTCAAAAATGCTTTTAAGGTTTACAAGGTAAGTATGTGATTGAGTTTGTCTCGTTTTGCGAAAAAATATTTCTGAGAAATATTTTTGAGGGTTGCCAAATACCCTCTTAGTCAATTTGAGTAAAGTTCAAATAAACTAAACGAGATTTGGTAAAAAAAAAAAAAACTAAACGAGAAAGATGGGCCAAAACATCTAAAACTTGAAAAGAACGAGCAAAGTACAACCAACAAAACAAAAAACTAACCAACAGGGATTGAGTTTAATTGAAGAGGTGAGTCTCTCACAATGTGATGAACTAATATTTGAATCCCCGTCAGGAGAGGTGTCTATATTTAATATTCGACAGTGTTTTAAACAAGAGGATATTTGTGCTTGTAAAAAAAAAAACTAACAACAAAAAAACATTAAAACAGCATAAAGCTTAAGACCAGATCATCATTTTGAAGACCAGGCAAAGAAAGTTGTCAAATATCGAATTTATACAATTAATTAATGAATTCCATCCAAAGGTGAAAATCCCGTCGGACAAGGGGATTTTAAGGTGTTCAATAATTATTATATTCACTCAGCATTTCTAAAATAATCTTAAAAATTGGTTTTAAATCAGTTTAATTAGTAAAAAGTTTTTTCTTTATTTTAAAAACATCAGTTGGCTATAGTATCAAACAAAGTTTTCACTGGTTTAATATTTTTGTCATCTCCAAACTCGACTTACTTAATATTGGTTTAATATTTTTGTCATCTCCAAACTCGACTTACTTAATATTAAATATTCATACCTATTTAAAGTTTTTTTAAAAGATGTGCTAATTTTATATGCTTAACTATATCCAATTAACATAGATTAATTCTTAACTTTATTTGAAAGGTGGCTGTAAATAAAGGAACAAAAACTCTCCACTAGAAGCGCAAATATAAGTCTCTGGTCAAAAAAAAAAAAAAAAGCGCAAATATAAGGTGATAGAATTAAAATTCATTTTGATTATAAAAAAAATTAAAATTCATTTTCTTATTAATAAAAGAATTAAAATTCATTACGTTGTTAAGTATCATCCCATTTGGCACGAAGAAAATTTACATGGAGATAAAAGAAAATAGCACATTTTCCATCATTAAGGGCGTTTGTATAAAAAGAAGATGCTCTTTCTCATGAAAACCAAAAATGCATTCGTGTTGTTTGGATTAGCATTTTGGTAATAATTTTACAATATACAAAGTAAATACATGAGAAAAATAAAGAAAAAATAGCAAATAAAACCCCCCAATATGTGAAATTGCGATTTGGGACTTTCAATTTGGAAAATAGCAAATAAAGACTCAGTCCCATATTGCAAATATAAAATTTTGATGACATGTCTGAAATGCCTCTCGACTAAGTGACAAGTTGATTATAGAAAATAATAAGTTCATTTTAACGAATAACAACTTCAATAGATCAAATCACAACTTGGCTAAGGGTATACCAAATGACAAGTTGACTATGGGAAATGACAAATTAACTTTAACGAATGGCAATTTCAGTAAACCAAATTACAACTTGGTTGAGGGGTATTTTAGACATTTTACTAAGATTTTATATTTGCAATATGAGACCGGGTCTTTATTTGCCATTTTTCAAATTAAAGGTCTCAAATCACAATTTTACATATTAAGAGGTCTTTATTTACTATTTTTCCAAAAGTAAACATATAAAAAAAATTTTGTTTCAATTTATACAAAAGTACTTTTTAAAGTGCTTTTGGTCCCCACTATCTTATGGGGGAACATATTTCCTCGTGTATGAGAAGTCCAAATTGTCTTTGCCCACTAAAGGTTTTTTTTTTTGGGGTCAAGCCCACTAAAGTGTATTATCAGCTATGTCATCATTTAAAGTCATTTCTCGGATAACCGGATAAATTATGAATATAGAAATCAATGTACTATCTCTAATTCATAATATAAGATTTAAAAGGTGTTTGGATGAAAACCAAACTATGGTTTCAGAAGTGATTTTATGGTCTACGAGGTAAATATGTGGAGGAGTTTATCTCGATTTGCGGAAAAGTGCTTCTAAGAAGCACTTTTCAGGGTATCCAAACACCCCCTTAGTTATAGATCAGGGGTATGTATGGGCCAGAATAAACTAGGTTTGCTATCAAACTGATATTTGGTCTAGTAAAGATTTTGGACCAAAAAAAGATAGCTCGAAGTCTGGTTTAGTCCAGTACCACCCTGAGGTTGGGTTGGATTGAACTTGGTCCACTGGATTACCTAGATTGGTCTAGGCAGTTCACGACCTGCACTTATTATATAAAATTTTTCACGTTTTAATTCAAACTTTGTCAGATTTGATCATTCCCTTTCAATTTCTCAATAATGTTATGTTTCATTTATTAATCCTATCAATATATATTTTATATCGAACAAGATACATATACATACTCATCATTTAGGAAGCTAATAGATAAATCTTGACTATTTGAATTGATAGAAAACCTATATAGAAGAATTAAAACAAATTAAAATAATATAAATAATAATTAAAAATTAAAAAATGGGCTGAATTGGACTGGATTAAACCAACTAGTCTAAGGGGTCAGTCTCCAGTCTAGTCCAGTCCAATTAGACTAGCTTGGTCTAATCTTGCTCTGGACTAATTTTTTCTGGACCATATTGGATTAGATTTGTTTGGATTGAACCGAACTTTATCGAACAAAGAGTTTTTGCACAGCCCTATTATAGATTCAATTTTGTTTTAAATATAAGACATTAATCTATTTTGTCTTATATACTTGTTCACTTTACTCCCAAGTAATCTTTATAGTGATTACACATATTAAGAGGTTTTCATCAAAGGTAGTTCCAATATACGTTATTGATAACGGTATTTTAAAAAAAATAACATTATTTATTATAAATAACTAACTTAACTAATTTTCTTAATATCTAAAAACTAGTTGTCTAACTCTTATAATTTTTATATTAAGAACCGAATGTGGTTTTAAATTTATTTGGATTTAATTTGATTTATTACATATTATTATTAAATAGGGGTGTTTTGGGTAATTTGTGTGTGTGCTTTTTAATTTTTTTTTTTTTTTAAAATTTAGTATTCTTCATTCTCTTTCATAGTTCTTACCAAATGGCGCTGCCAAGTCATCTTGATCTAGGCTCCCACGTGATGCAGTTTAAAGCGTTTATTGCATGTACGCTTCAGATTATGCCAAGTCATCCCAACACGTGGACTAAATCGTCATCACTCAAAATGATTGAATCCTTACCGTTGATATAAATACCTATTAAATCACCGTTTCTGTTCTTCGGCAGTTCAGTTTCGTATTGCATGTTTAAGGAGGCCCTTCGATGTTTTAAAGCTTCCTTTACTTGCTTGGCTACATTCGAAGATTTTGCTGCTTTTAGTCGAGTCACTGTTAGTTTTAGCTTGAGGTGCTTTTATTTTACACACTTCTGTAGATGGCTATAATGGGGTTTACTTGGAATGCAGCATTGTATAAGCTGATATTTATTTTTTTCTCTTATGATTTGGTCTAGGATTGATTCAGAATGTTGCAAAGGTGGAGTAAAGCAATCACTCATGTTTCTAAAATTGGATCACAAAGTAATTTGAGATCTGGCAAAGACATTTGTGCCATGACGCGCCTAAGTTATGCGAAGGTTGCGGCAGCGTCGTCGCCAACTTCAACTAATTTTAAGGAGAACGATTGTACAAATGAACCCAAGGTATCGATATAAAATTCCAGTTCCTTGTTATTTTTGAAGGTTCCAACTATGGGGTTGAGCTTACTTGCTGGTAATTGCTTATAATTGAAATTCTATTTATGAGGGTTTACCTTTGTGTGTTGGCTTTTCGGGGTTGGTTAAAAGAAAGCTGTGAGATTTGCTCTTGCAGCTTACTCCAAGCAATGGCAACTATACACAGCGTTTTCCTTTTTTGCTAATTCCCCTGCATTTTTTTTATGGGTTTCAGTCTCTGCCGCCTGAATTCTTGGATGCAACTTCTTGTTGCTTCTTTTTTGTGATTCTTGTTGTACAAGTTTTCATGTAGGCAATACTATGTGCTTGATTTGATGCGGATAATAATCTCCTTGCATGTTTTAGGTTAATTTAGATAAAATGGTCTGGTCAAAGCCCTGCTCACTGGCCTTGGCTTATACACAGCGTTTTCCTTTTTTTCTAATTTCCCTGCATGTTTTTATGGGTTTCAGTCTCTGCCGCCTGAATTCGTGGATGCAACTTCTTGTTGCTTCTTTTTTGTGATTCTTGTTATATAAGTTTTCATGCAGGCAGTACTATTGCTTGATTTGATGCGGATAATAATCTCCTTGCATGTTTTAGGTTAATTTAGATAAAATGTTCTGGTCAAAGCCCTGCTCACTGGCCTTGGCTGAAAATTCGCCACTAAGAGTTCAAGAACCCAATTTTGAGGGCATCAAGCGGTTCTTTCTGAAAATGTTGATGTTTTATAGTAAACAGAGCAAGTCAATTCGAGGAGCTAATGTGGTATACCAGAGAATCCTTTCACAGGTTGATAAACCTCCTATTTACGAAGGTGACATCTATGCTTTGTGACTATTATATTGATTAAATTATGCAGTAGATGAAAGCGAACTGATATTTTCTATTGTCATTGTTAAACTCTCAAAATAAAACCAAAAAAGGAAAAAAAAAAAAAAGAAAAAAAAAGAGAGGACTGGGGTTGGGATGGAAGGGAGTTGATTGTCCACTTTATACCTTGTCTATGTGACCTTCCCATGGGAGTAAATTCCGCCTGGTAAGATTTGAGGGGCTGCATGATAAGATGTTTGTATTGGTCTATTGGACTCGTTAATTGTAGTTTTGAGGGCTAGTGCTGAGTGGTATAGTCAAGTCTTCCTAAATTGAGGGACTTGAGGAATTTCAGAGTTTGACGTTACTGAAACTGAAATTATTTTTCCTTGCATATGTTTTTGATCTATGTGACTTTCATCTCATCTTATTGACTCATCCTAGGATTCCCACTTTTCTCAAGAGCATATTTTCAGGCTGCAGTCTGTTTAACGCTAAAATCTCCCAAAAGTTAGCCCATTACGGAATAATCATAACCAAATTTATGAGCAAATTTGCATAGTGCTATAGGACAAAATTGTTATCAAATCCAAACATGCAGACTTAAATGCAAACGCACAGAAGTACTTGCACACGCATGCAAGTTTATTCCGCAGATATACTCTTCTAAGTTGCCTTGAGACTTTGAGGTTGTATAATTTTCCAATCACAGGTTTTTCATAATATGCTTCTTGTTGTTCCTCAGTTTGGAGGCAGCACATTTAATCCAGGTTGCCTCATTTCGGAAGAGGTGGTGTAGCTTTTTACATGTTAGTGGGGATGTGGGGGTTTGCCCCCGTGTAGGTTCCTTAACTGGATGGTGAGGTTCTTGTTGTATGAAGGACGGTAAAATTTACTGGGATGGTTGCTCTGTGGGGTATATGGATTGAGGTCAAAATCTTAGAGATAGATTTCACCAACGCATGTTGGGGCGGAATTCTTTACTTGGCCTCACTTTGTTGTATGACTTATCTTTATGTGGGGCCATTCCTTTTACTTTGACGGGTCTGAAATTTTAAGGCCATTTGTGTTTTTGTGTGTGTTTGCGTGTGTATATTACTTTGAGGGCTTTAACTTCTCCTTACTTTACTGATGAAGGAAAATAAAACTTTCACGAGTAATTTGACAAAGCTTGTAGGCTTCATAACTTATTTTGAGAATAGAGTTGAGTAATTATGGGCTGAGAGGATTATAATTTGAATTAATTCTCGTGAAGAAAGAAATTCTTGTATCTTATTTTAGCTGTTTTTCCCGTTGCCTGCAGTGTTTAACTTGGAGAAAACATTTAAAACAACATTTGCTTTACTTGTACTTCACATGTGGCTATGTTTGCGTCGCTTGAAGCAAGAGGGAAAGGAGGGAGTTGAATTTGGGCAATACCTATATGAGATATACAATCATGATGTGGAGCTAAGAGTGTCTAAAGAAGGAGTAAGTAGTCCTTTTCACTTCCTCAATTTATTCACGCATCCTACCTCGACAACATATTAGCTGCAGTGTTTTTCACTTGAAAGAATATACATACATATAATTTTCGTTATTAGTTTTAAGTAACAACATCAGCCTATGGAAAATTATGTTCCCTCTTGGACTCAATAGTCAACGTTTTTGTTACAGAAATATAACATAGATTTAATCTTTGGGAAGGACGTACATTTTTGCTGCTTGCTTAGTTTAGATGTCAATATCTATTCAACAAGAAATTTCTATTGTTGCTTAATAAAAAAAATTTATTTGAAATAACCCTTTTGTTAGCTTTCATGATTGCATCTGATTTCTGGTTTTCAATTTTTTCAGGATGATGAGATTGTGTAACGAAATGTACATTTAGTTTCCACTTTCAAACTTATATATTCGAGTGCATAAATAAGAACGGGTTGCAGGAGGAATTGGTATTGCATGCATGAGTATACGAATAGACTTCATGATTAATTGAACTCTATATTTGTAAATAATAAGTTACTTTTACATGGCAGGTTAACCTCTTGTTGACTAGGTGGATGAAAAATCTAGAGAAAATTTTCTATGGAAATATTGTTGCTTATGATACAGCCTTGCTTCCTGAAGCTAAACCGAATGATTTTTCTGATGCAATATGGAGGTAGCTTTTGACACCCAGCTGATACTCCACCTCTATTTTTTCCGGATGTGTTTTGCTGAGAATGCATTTCCACATAACACAATGTATTTTTTTTTTTTTTTAAATTGTTCCAGGAATATATTTTCTGGCGATGGTTTGTCAACACCAGATGCTGCTGCATTGCGGACAGTGCAGGTATTTCTTCAATATGTGAAATTTTACTCAGTATTTGTGTAATAGATTAGTGTGAGACTTTTAAACTGCTGGCATTTTCAGAAATATCACCTTTATGTTAAAGTTTCTTTACCTGACTGGGGAGGATGTAATGACCAATTTATCGAAAATGAATAAGACAAAACGAGGGGGGGACTCATTTTATTTTATTTTATATTTTTCATAAACGTATCAATTTATTTATTCAACATATGGAATACAGTCATCAGTAGCATAATTCATAAAGTTTGAAGATAGCAATCTATGTTTGCTCCACGAAAGAGTGAGGTAAGTGACAATGAGGAAGGAGTACTTATCCTTGTGGCATCTTTCCATATGGTCTGCCTATTCAGGTTGCCTCATCTGGAGTGGATTAAGACCTTAAAGTCTTTCTGGGCAAAACATAGCTGCAATGGAAAATTGAAGGGTTTTTACATCATTGGCTAGTCCTTAATCCATAGTGTACCAAAGCAGGGACGTATTTTTATTCCAACCGGTCCTAGCATTCTGTCTAAAATTCCTCACTTCTTGTACGTTGGAATGAATTGAGGCTCCTATATTCACGGTTAAGGGCAAGCCTGAGAGAGAGTAATGATAAGAAAACAAGCCTGTCCGTCTTGTTTCTTTCAAAGCTTCCTGTCTTTTGTGTATATTGCCAATTAACCACTTGGTCTAGCATTGTTTAACTTTCATTTTCCAGCATAAGTCCATTGCCACATTTGATTTCTTCTTGTTTCCTTTGCATTCCATTTGTTAAACATTTATCTGATTCTTTTAGTTGCTTTTCTTTTTATATTTTTCCATTTATATGGGTAATATATTGCTGCTGAATCTAAAGTTTGTCTCCAGGCAATGGCCAGATATGCTCGTCGGGAAGTAAGTTCTCTCTCTTTGACAGGTAAATGCTGTCTGCTATTCCATATCTTCATTTTGTTTTATTTTTTGAATGAAAACTGAGTGACATTCAATCAACAAATAGAGACAGTTATTCCATATCTTTATGTATGCAATAACTGTCTCTATTCGTTGCATTATACAGGGGAAGTGGAGGTTTGATTTGGACATTTCTCCTGCTTTAGATTGAAATCGTGCTTTTACTTACCTCCATCATTCTCCTCAGTCCAAACAGAGACCTGTTTCCCAAATGCACTGTTCTTTCGAGGTTACCAAATATCATTTGGTTGAGAAATATTTAATATTCGTGCCATGATATTATGATCCCTGATGTCACTTGTGACTTGCCCTTTTCTTTTGAAATTGGTTTTTGACTCATGAAATTGTGCTTCATGTGTGTCACTTATGCTGCTGTTAAAATATAACAAAATGTATGGTTATGAAAAACGAGCAAATATATTTTAGGATGTGATGGTATTGTTGTGATATCTTTACTTGTTCTTTTATGAATTTATTTCTTGTATCTGTCTTGCTTATTTTTAGTTTACTGAGTCATGGAATTTGGATGGCAGATAAAGAAGCAATATACTCAGGGAATTTTACATTTACCTCACTGAAGCGCGAGATCAAGAGTGCGAAGGGGAACCAATAGTTAAACATTTCTTGAACAAAATCATAGGGAACAAAAAAAAAGACCTTTTCCACTATTTGTTGCCCGGAAAAACATTGAATAATTATTATACAAGCTCGTATTGTGGCATCTTGAAAGCCGAGTTGTTTTTGCTCAGATAAAAGGGAGAAGTGTTAAAGTGATGTTAAAATATTGTAACTTTTCTGGAATTATTTGTTCCTTAGGAATTTGACAACTAGAGTGGGATTCATGTATTTGCACAGTACGAAGATAAATGTTATTGCTCCCAGCGTATAAAGAATGCCATTTTTATGCCCTTTTCCCCCCTTATATTTTATGTTGATATTGGTTCTCTACCTTCCAATATGAGACAGACGATAGAATACAAGAGAGTTAGGTTTGCATGGAATAACTGAGTTGGTGATTCTTGGATTTGAACTCTCAGTTGCTCAATTATTCATGAGACTCACCATTAGATTGGTCTTGTCTCTATATGCTACATCCGGCCTTAAATATAAGTTAATTTTTGTAGTTAAATTGTACTACAAACTAGTTCTTATATTTAGGACTGAATGTAATATATTTTTTATCCAAGAGAATTCGAATGTCTTAATTCTTCATTCCCTTGTTTATGCTGTGATTTTCATACACACACACACCATTATTATTATTATTATTATTTTCCCCCCTATTTCCACCGTCGTAATATGGCTTGCATCTTGCATGGCATTTCTGGGCTTTTGGTAGACACAAGCACTGAGATATTTGTCAAAATTTGAACAATTTATTGTCCACATCTGAGTAGCTAATGTTAGAGAACATCTTGTATTTGTATCAAAGGTATTTTATACTTTTGTATTGAAACATATTTTCACTTCAGTTATATGGACCTGCAGAAATATTTTTGAAATTATATAGGTCCAAAGTGTCGTTACCTTCCTTGTGGGGGTCTCAATGGTATTCTCATTACTATAAACAGGTCTGTATATATTGCCCAACTAAAATTAGATAAATAATCAAACTAAATAATCAGCGAGAGCTTTAGAAATCAAATGCACCATCAATATGTTTTTACTCCTGGTATGTATAAAATTGCAAATTTATAGTAAAACTGAGTACACAATCATAATGAGATGTATATTACAAGGAAAGATATAGAAGTACATGCATGGGGGGAAAACCCCAACACACAAGGAGAGATATAGAATCTATCTTCCTTGAGGAACATTCTCCTAACAAAAACAGGTCTATATAGGCATTGCCCAATTAAAATTAGATTAGATAATCAAACTAAACTAATTAATGAAAACTTAGAAATCAAATACACCATCAATATGCTTTCACTCTTGGTATGTATAAAATTGGAAATTGACAGTAAAACTGAGTACACAATCATTATGTTTTTATTACTATGCCGTCTCTATATATATTATATTATATGGAGAGAGATACAAGTACATATATGAAAATAAAACAAGACAAAACATGAACTCTATATATGCATCGCACTATCTGATATTTTCTTGGACTATTTTCTTTAAATATATGACTGCATGATATTATAAGGACTGGTTTCCTCCCAGGTGCATTTGACATGATTTGAGTGTCTAAAATCACAAGTTAACACTAGGCTTCCGTCCATTCTCTTCAACACAAAGCTTTCTACTAACACATAGAATCCAAAGTTCCTCCACATTCCACTTATTCCCTCAAACTTCTCCACTCTTTTAAATCTCGCTTGCTTCTTCTCATTCTTTCCCTCCCAATCACTTCTTTCCTCCTCCCATCTAATTCTCTCCACAATAGCCATGCTCAGCCCTACTTTTCTCTCTCCTCTCACCAAACTCCGAAGCCACATCACACCCTCTTCACCAACTCTTCCTTCTTCCCAAACAGCTTCTCTCCCATCACCCAGACGTGCAACTTCAGTTTTCGCCACAACATCCACAAACACTTCATTACTGTTCCCACTGTTTTCCTTCGAGAGAACTCTGTCCCACCTTCTTTCAAGTGTCATTTCATAGAAAACTGACCTCTTCATCTGCTCCTTCACACTCACTCCTTCTTCCTTCACAAACATGAAAGGACAGTACCATTTCCCTGCAACCACTGGTTCAGAGCGATCAGAAGATGATAGTGATGATGGGAAGGTGAAGGGTGGTAATTGGGTTCTCAAGGAGGGGTTGATGCCAAGAGCTTCACTCATTTGGTAACTGTGTGGTGTTTTGGATGAGAGAATCCAATTCTTTTTTCTCACGAAAAGAGGAGGCAACCCATCTGAGACAATAGGCTTAGCTTGGAATCCACAACTCTTTTTCAGTATCTCAAATTGTTGGTATTCATCGGAGGGATTGAATGGTCTTGATTGGATGTGTTTGCTGTAACTGAAAAACAAACATGTGCATATGTCTTCTTTTGTACATGTGCTTGCTTCGCTGCAAAATAGTGATAACCCAATAAACTACACAGATGGAACTAGGAGCACAATTCAGAGCAAAAACATCAATCTAATAGCAAAAGGAAAAAGAATACAGGCCACACCATCCCATGTGGGGTGAGAAATAGAGGAACTTTATCCTATTATATAACATATTTGTTGTACAAGAGAAAGAGAAAAAGTGAGGCATACCCTTGATGCTTGCCTTTTCTTCTGATGGCGTAGTAGAGATTAGAAGACAGAGGCTGATTGAGAACAGGAATGAACATAAGTTCATCTTTAGATGCCCCCTCTAGTTCTCCAGTGTTGTATATATAAAGAACCGATAAATTCTTGTTCTGTGGCAATGGCAGGTTGCTGATGCCATTGTTGCACAAGCCAAAACACGAGTGAGTCTCAGATTGTTCATCTTGGAGGACTAGGTAGCCTGAATTTGGTCCCTCTTGTGGTGGATGCCAAAGTGCTTCAGGATCCCTTTTGTACAAAGATCGAGGCCTTGTCACATACATGCTCTCTCTCTCAGTTTCTGCGTTTGTGAACTTCATATTTGTGTTCTAACATTTATTGATGTAAAATAGGCCGTTCTGACAGGTTCACTAGAGTATTTTAAGTATGAATTTAGCCTTTTTGTTTAACACAAGGTCAAGATCAAATGAGACTAAGTTGTAGGCTCCTGATAGGCTTTTGGCTTATTTTCACCTTTATATAAAATCTTCTGATATTCTTTTCGGTTACACATGCAGAAATCCCTAGTGCAAGTTTTGATGCATCTTCTTCTTACATTCTCTCACAATTATGTTATAATTAGTGAGTCCCTCTTTTAATATTTTGTTTCTTGAAATTGTTATCAAGATTTGTTTGTGAAAGAATACAAAGAGTGTGCACTACAGTCCCTAACAGAGATTCAAAATCCTTACATGTACAGGCTTTTCACAGTTTCATGATTTTCTTTATTATGCTATTAGATCTGTTTGCTACATATCTCAAGGGTTCTAGTTCAAACTGTTTACCCTGAAACTGCAAAGAAATTTCACCACTTGATCAAAGGCTGATCAAAGAATGAAGGAGGGACTTTTAATAAAATAACTCTTTCGTTACTCACACATTACAAGTCATTTTAAATTTGATAAATTCAAAGAAATATGTAAGTAATTTAATACATAAACAAGTCTATATTGTCCAAGTAAACCAAGCTAATCAATTAAAAACTTCAGAAATCAAATACGTCATCAGTATGTTTGTGTTCCTATCTTGCTTTTATCACTATGGCGTTTCTATGTGGAATTATATACATGAAGAAAGATAAAAATAGATGTATAAAAACTGAACTCTATCCATGTCATCTAATTTTTTTAATTAAAAGGTAGGTATTAAAGACTTGAGGTTACAAACGAGATCAAACTTGTACTCATGAGCTATTATACCACTAGATGACAAGTTTATTCCCAACTGCACCTTACATGATTTAAGTGTCTGAAATCATAAGTCAAGACCTGGCTTCCATCCATTCTCTTCAGCACAAAGCCTTCTACTAACACATAGAATCCAAAAGTCCTCCACATTCCACTTATTCCGTCAAACTTCTCCACTCTTTCAAATCTCACTTGCTTCTTCTCATTATTTCCCTCCCAATCACTTCTTTCTTCCTCCCATCTCATTCTCTCCACAATGGCCATGCTCAACCCTACTTTTCTCTCTCCTCTCTCCAAACTCCGAAGCCACATCACACCCTCTTCACCAACTCTTCCTTCTTCCCAAACAGCTTCTCTCCCATCACTCAGACGTGCAACTTCAGTTTTCGCCACAACATCCACAAACACTTCATGACTGTTCCCACCGTTTTCCTTTGAGAAAACTCTGTCCCACCTTCTTTCGAGTGTCATTTCATAGAAAACTGACCTCTTCATCTGCTCCTTCACACTCACTCCTTCTTCCTTCACAAACATGAAAGGGCAGTACCATTTCCCTGCAACCACTGGTTCAGAGCGATCAGAAGATGATAGTGATGATGAGAAAGTAAAGGGTGGCAATTGGGCTCGCAAGGTGGGGTTGATCCCAAGAGCTTCACCCAATTGGTAATGGCGTGGTGTCTTGGTTGACAAGCTCCAACTTTGTCTCCTCAAGAACTCAGGAGGAAACCCATCTGAGACAATAGACTTGCCTTTGAATCCCCATCTGTTTTTCCTTATCTCAAATTGTTGATACAAATCAGAAGGATTTAGTGGTCTTGGTTTGACGTCTTTGATGTAAGTACAACACAAACATGTTCCCATGTCGTCTTCTTTTGAACATGTGCTTGCTTCGCTGCGCAAAACAGATAAACCAATGAACTACAAGCATGGAACTAAGAATATAATTGAAAGCCGAAAAACAGAGCATATATGATCTGAGAAAGTGAGGCATACCCTTGACGCTTTCCGTTGCTTCGAATGACATAGTAGCGATTAGAAGACAAAGGCTGATTAAGAACAGGAATGAACATGACTGCATCTTCATATGTGTCAGCTCCTTCTGCATTACTCACTGCATAAACAACAGTTAAGTTCCTGTTCTGAGGCAATGGCAGGTTGCCGATTCCATTCTTCCACAAACCAAAACATCCGTAGGTCTCAGCTTCTTCATCTTGAAGTACTAAGTATCCTGAATTTGGTCCCTCTGGCTGATTCCCAAGAGCTTCGGGATTCCTTTTGTACAGAGACCGAGGTCTTGTCACGTACATTCTCTCCTTCTCCCTTTCCCTAATTTATGAACTTATTATGAACTTCATGTTTGTGTTCTGTGATTGATTTATACTGTTGGGGTTGTGTGTGTGATGGAAACTCCAAAACCCATTGACCAGAACCTGCGTGGAGGTTTCGCTGAATTGTCAAATCTTTGTATGATTTGCTATAGATCTGTCAGCCGTCGGCTGGCCACGCACGTTTCTTGTTCAAACTGTTGATATTTATACAGAACTTGCATGCGCAAGTTTCGTTTTTTTTTTTGTCTTTTGGCAAATAAAAGTCAAGAGGACCAGCGTGGGTTGGCGCAAGTGGTAGAGGACCTGCGTTCCCTTAAACGTCTCTAGTCCCGGGTTCAATTCTTACGGGCGGCGTGTAGAGAGAAAATTCGTTTGGGAGGAGGCCCGGTCATTGGACCGCCTGACAGACCCTGTGGATTAGTCTCTGCTTACCAGGTGGGAGGATACCCTGGTGCTCATCCAAAAAAAAAACAAAAAAGTCAAGAGGAGAATGGGAGCCTCATAAGCATTTCGTTTTGACTTCCAAAGAAGCAATTTAGAAGGTGTTTGGCTAACCCCAAAAGTGTTTCTCAAAAATACTTTTCTGTAAATTGAAACAAACTCCTCTACATAATTACTTCGTATACCATAAAAGTACTTCTGAAACTATAGTTTTGTTTTTACCCAAACACTCTCTCACTCAGGTAGGTTTGTTTTTAATTAGTTTGGCAGCTTGAAAGCCGATTCTCGGGTTGTTTTTGCTCAGATAAAAAGAAAGTGTTAAAATGATATTAAAAAGTGTAACTTTTTTGTTGATATATTTTTTTCTTTAAAATTTGAACATGAATTATAATCTAAGTACCCATTCGCTCACACCACGCACAACTAATGTCACAGACGAATCCTCTCTTTCTCCCAGATTTTTTTTCCTAATTTCACATAACTTACATTAAATTTCCTAAACTTCTATCAACACAGAGGAATCAGACATATTTTAACAGACGGAATCTCATTTTTAATTTGCTGATGAACGGAGATAACTAGGAAAGAAAAACCACTTTCCTTGACTTTTTCCTTCTTGACAGTTTCTCCAACAAATGAATGGATGTAGCATTATCTATGAGAAAGTTGTCTCCACCGCAACTTTTATTAATAATCAAACCCATCATACAAACCGCTAAAATAATATACCCATTACATGTCAATCTCAATTGCATAATTTAATACATAAACAAGTCTAAATAGTTATTGTCCAACTAAACCGAACTAATCCGGTCAAAAAAAAAAAAAACTAAACCGAACTAATCAATTGAAAACTATAGAAATCCATCAATGCATCATCAAAATGATGTTTGTAGTCCTAGCGTGTTTTCTTTATTACTATGGCGTTTCTATATAGAATTATGTACATGTACAGAGACAAAAGTACATGTATAAAAAATGAACTCTATATATGCATATACAATCTGGTCTTTCTTGGGATCATTCTCTTTAAATTTATGACATTTTGATGTCATACGGATGAGTTTATGACTCCCAACAGCACTTGACATGATTTGAGTGTCTGAAATCATAAGCCAACACAAGGCTTCCATCCATTCTCTTCAACACAAAGCTTTCCACTAACAAATAGAATCCAAAATTCCTCCACATTCCACTCATTCCCTCAAACTTCTCCACCCTTTCAAATCTCACTTGCTTCTTCTCATTCTTTCCCTCCCAGTCACTTCTTTCTTCCTCCCATCTCATTCTCTCCACAATAGCCATGCTCAACCCTATTTTTCTCTCTCCCCTCTCCAAACCCCTAAACCACATCACACCCTCTTCACCAACTCTTCCTTCTTCCCAAACAGCTTCTCTCCCATCACCCAACCCTGCAACTTCAGTTTTCACCACAACATCCACAAACACGTCATTACCGTTCCCACTGTTTTGCTTAAAGAAAACTCTGTCCCACCTTCTTTCAAGTGTCATTTCATAGAAAACTGACCTCTTCATTTGGTCTTTCACACTCACTCCTTCTTCCTTCACAAACATGAAAGGGCAGTACCATTTCCCTGCAACCACTGGTTCAGAGCGATCAGAAGATGATAGTGATGATGAGAAAGTAAAGGTTGGCAATTGGGCTCGCAAGGTGGGGTTGATCCCAAGAGCTTCACCCAATTGGTAATGGCGTGGTGTCTTGGTTGACAAGCTCCAACCGTCTCTCCTCAAGAACTCAGGAGGAAAACCATCTGAGACAATGGCCTTGCCTTTGAATCCCCATCTGTTTTTCCTTATCTCAAATTGTTGATACTCATCAGAGGGATTTAGTGGTCTTGATTTGACGTCTTTGACGTATGTGCAACACAAACATGTTCCCTTGTCGTCTTCTGTTGAACATGTGCTTGCTTCGCTGCGCAAAACAGATAAACCAATGAACTATAAGCATGGAACTAAGAATATAATTGAAGCCGAAAAAGTAACAGAGCACATATGATCTGAGAAAGTGAGGCATACCCTTGACGCTTTCCTTTTCTTTGAATGACGTAGTAGCGATTAGAAGACAAAGGCTGATTAAGAACAGGAATGAAAATAACTGCATCTTGATATACCACGGCTGCTTGTCCAGTACTCTGTGCATATAGAACAGTTAAGTTCCTGTTCTGAGGTAATGGCAGGTTGCCGATTCCCTTCTTCCTTAAACCAAAACATCCATAAGTCTCAGCTTCTTCATCTTGAAGTACTAAGTATCCTGAATTTGGTCCCTCTGGCTGATGCCCAAGAGCTTCAGGATTCCTTTTGTAAAAAGATCGAGGTCTTGTCACATACATTCTCTCCTTTCTCTCTTTCCTTAATTTATGAACTTCATGCTTGTGTTCTGTGATTGATTTATATTGTTGGGGTTGTGTGTTTGATGGTAACACCAAAACCCATTGACCAGAACCTGCGTGGAGGTTTCACTGAATTGTTAAATCTGCATGTGATTTGTTATAAATCTGTTCACTAGCCACGCAGGTTTCTTGTTCAAACTCTTCATAATTATACAGAACTCTCATGGAAGCTTCTCTTGTTTGTCTTTTGACAAATAATATATACAAGTCAAGAGGAGAATGGGAACCCTCCAAGCATTTTGTTTTGAAATTTGATGATGAACAAGACATAAATAGACGTTAACAATCACACGTTGTACTTGATTGGTCAAAGGTCAAACACTTCGGCCGAAAAAGGGTCAAAGGTAAAATACGTGTACTGGAAGCATTATCTATGGATAATTGTTGAATACTCTACCAATCAAATGGGTGACATAAAATATCTTTTTTTGTCATAACATGTACCGGTTCTAAATATAAAAGTTAGTTGAGATTTCAATTTGATCATAAATATAAGATTTCAATCTATTTTGTCTCTTAAATTTATAATGTTTTCTCCAAAATATCCCTCCTGATTGTAAGGATTTTTTTATTGAGAAGTAGTTTCAATATACTTGTTTAAATAAGGTAATTTAGAAAATTCAACACATATATGTTAGGTATAACCAAATGAATTAATTTTATTAATATTTTCAAATTAATTGTTTAGCTTTATATCAAGGATTGGAAGTCATATAATATTAAAATTTTGCAGTAAATATGAGCACAATCTAGCATTCCAACTCATGAGTTGAGAGAAAATCTTAAAAAGACTTTTGCAGAAACTCAATTTAGGAAGATTATATCCCCAAGGATCATTAACCCTTCAATGGGCTGAGGCCCATAAACTTGAATCTTAATGTTTTAAATTAAGATGTGCTCATTACTCTTATTTCAATTTGTTCTCTCATTCTATTTTCAGGAGATGCTCAGCCTCCTGTTTTCATTCAATTTTGAAAAAAATATTATATATTTCTGTATAATAAAAAATTTATAAATAGTTCTTGTATTTATAATCATGAACGGTTTAGGTCATATCAAATTTTATGCATAAAATGAGTCCAAAATTTAATTTAATCTTAATTTTTGTTGTTAGACAAGAGACAATTGAGAATATACTGCCCCTTTCCTTCCCACATCTATTTCCTTACTTTAACGTTTATTAGTACAACAAGCTATTGGATGTAGAATTATCTGAGAGATCATTTCTTCTGCAATTTTGATACAGTTGTAAGAATCAAACTCATTTGAAAAGAAAAGTCAACTTCATCTGCGTAATTTAATATAAATGCAGTTATTGTCAAGCCAATTCTTTTAAAAGAAAAAGTCAAACCAAAGCAATCCACGAACACTCTAGAAATCAAATACATCATCAATATGTTTTTATTTCAATGGCATCTCTATCTAGTAGTGTAGTATTATATGGTGAGAGATTAAAGTACATGTGAAAGATAAGGATGAACTTTATAAATACACAATGCGATGTGTTTTTTTCCCCCCTTAATTACTGGATAACAAAGATGATCGAGTTTACTCCCAAGTGCACTTAACATGATTAGAGTATCTAAAATCATGTGTTAACACAAAACTTTCATCCATTCTTTTCAACATAAAACTTTCCACCAACACATATAATCCAAAATTCCTCCACTTTCCTTTCTTCATTCCCTTAATTTTTTCCACTCTTTTAACTCTCATTTCTTTGTTATTCCTTCCCACCCAATCAGATCTCCCTCCCTCCCATCTCATTCTCTCCACAATGGCCTTGCTTAACGCTACCCTTCTCTCTCCTCCTTCCAAACTCTTAAACCAAGTTACCCTCTCATCACCAATTCTTCCTTTTTCCCAAACAGCTTCTCTGCCACCATCCATTTCTGCAACTTGAGTTTTCACCACAGTATCCACCAACACTTCATTACTTTTCTCACTGTTTTCCTTAGAGAAAACTTTGTCCCATCTTCTTTCAAATGTCATTTCATAGAAAACTGACTTCTTCATCTGTTTCTTTAGACTCATTCCTTCTTCTTTCACAAACATGAAAGGGCAGTACCATTTCCCGATGACCATTGCTTCAGAGTGATCTGATTGTGATGATGGGAGAGTGAAGGGAGGCAAATGGTGTCTCAAAGAGTGATCAATGCCAAGAGCTTCACTCAGATGGTAATGTTGGGGTGTTTTGGTGGAGAGAGTCCAACTTCTCCTCAAGAAGAGAGGAGGAAACCCATTTGGGGCAACAGAGTTGGCTTGGAACCCCCAACGCTTTTTTACTATCTCAAACCGTTGATATTCATCAGAGGGATTTAGAGGTCTTGGTTTAACGTCTTTGATGTAATTGCAGCAGAAACATGTTCCCATGTCTTTGTCATTTGAACTTGTGCTAGCTTCTCTGCACATCAAATCCTTGGAGTGCTGATTCTATCCAAAGTGATTGACCAACAAAATAGATGCACGGGACTAAAGATATTATCTATAGCTTAAAAAACAAGGAAGAATACCAACCAGGTTGCACATATAGACTAGCAATTTCAAATAAGGGAATCTCAACAGCAGATCATTGAGAATGACCTGTAAGACTTGAATGTCTTATTTGAACTAAGATTCCCATATTTGCAAATGTCTGATGCAAAAATTTAGGCCAAAAGAAAAATTTACTCTAGAAGTTTTTCACTAGGTGCAATTGAAACAAGGGAACATTGTACCAATCGAAAGTTTAAGGATGTCAATTGTACCTGGTAAATTGGCCCTTTAGCCCATTACTAAATTGATCTTTGGAACCTAAGTGTCATTCCTCTACAAATTAATTAAGGTTTCCGTAAAAGCCTTCCTTCATATTCAGAAGCAAAACAATGTATTTAATCTAGTTTGACTTATATATGAGCTGTTTAATAGCATTTGCTTCAAAATTGCCGTCGTTCAACTCGCTAAGCAAAACATGGCAAATCAGATTTTCTTGTTAAGAGAAAAAAATGTAACACATACCCTTGATGCGTCCCTTTCCCATGAATGACATAGTAGTGATTAGAAGACAAAGGCTGATTAAGAGCAGGAATGAACATGACTCCATCTTTATAAACTGTGGCACCATTTCTACTGCTCTCTGGATACAGAACTGATAATTTCCTGTTCTGTGGAAATGGGAAGTTACGGAGACATGTGTGAGTCTCATCTTCTTCTTCTTCATCATCTTGGAGTACAAGGTAGCCTGAATATGGTCCCTCTGGTGCTGGATGCAAAAGAGCTTCGGGATCCCTTTTGTACAAAGATCGAGGCCTCGTCACATACATCTTTTTCTCTCACAATCTCCTCTTTTTGATGTATTTATCAGACCGAATTCATGTTCTACCACTTTTATAGTCGGGTTTGTGAGTTTAGTAGTATTGTTATTTGAGTCAGTATGTGATTTGTTAAATCTGTGAGCTAGCTATGCAGGTTTCTTGCAAAAAGTCAATGGGAGAATGGAACCCCACAAGGACTACATTTTAAATTTGATGATTAACAAGAGACAGATAGACTTAAATATCATATGTGTACAGGTGTACCGGATTAATTAAAAAACAAAAAAAAAAGAAAAAGAAAAAGTCCTCGAAGCAATTTCTATATACGTGATGTATCAAATAGGTGACATGCTTTAGAAACACTTCTGTCCTGTTCTTTGAATCTAGAAAGTAGAAATTACATTAATCTGAATTATTCTATAGGCCGATTCAAATGGAACAGAGTCAGAGATAGAAGATACAATAAGAAATCACTAATTTTAAATTTCATAGGAGGCTAACTTGACAATATGAAAGAGAATGAAAACTGGGTATTTGGGCCACCAAGCTGATATTCAAACAAGATCTTACACTTCATAGGTAGGTCTAATCCACAAATGATTAGCATGAAAATACCTGCTCAATATTGTTTTTCTTAACCTTACAAACCAACTAAACAAATGAAAGAATTCTGCCAGCAATATGTAAAACATAAAACAAGACAATACATTCCAATCCCCATAAATCAAAACAGAAATGAAACTAAGAAACTTCCAAAGATTAAAGAGTAACATAGCCTCTCAGTCCCATTTGCTTCTGATACGATGTGTGTGCTTGAATTCACAGGTTAACACCAAGCTGCCATCCGATCTTCTAAGCACAAACCTCTCAACCAAAACATAACATCCATAATTATTCCACCCTTCTCTTCCTTCAAGAACATGATCTACCTCCTTCACTCTCACATGTCTTTCATTACCCCAAATATAACCAGCCCTCTCTTGTTCCCACCTCATTCTATCAACTATTGCCATGCTTAACCCAACACTGCTACTAGCCTCCTTTAATCCATTGCTATGGCTTCTGAACCACATTATCCCATCAGCCACATGTTCATCTTCAGCCTCCTTCCCACTTATTAAAACCCTCATTTTTTGAACACTAACATCCACAGCTACAGAATTATTGCCTCCTGCATAAGCGTTGTCACATTCAAATATCCGTTCCCAGTTTTGCTCAAGGGTCATTTCATAATAAGCTGAGTTCCTAACTTGATCTTTCAGTCTGCCTTCTCTTATGAACATGAATGGACAGTACCACTTCCCCACAATCACAGTATCAGAAGTCTTATAAGATAATGGGAAGTTGAAATCAGGAAGTTGAGCTCGAAGGGAAGCATTTAGCCCTGGTGCTTCACCCAAATCGAAACTGTGGCGGCTTGAAGTGTTAGCCTCCCACCCTTTTCTTTCTAAGAAACGTGGTGGCACTCCATCTGGAGCCACTGCTCTGGCTGTAAATCGACCCCATTGATTGAATAGTCCTTGAACCCTCATGACTTCAAATTGCTGGTATGTACTGTTGTGATCTAGAGGTTGTGGTGGCACATCACGTACAATGTTGCAGAAACAGCAGCTTGTCATGTCTTCCTCACTTGAATTTGTATAAGCTTCCCTGCAAAGTCAGTTTAAGCTTGAACTTTTAGGTCATTGAAATAATACATATCAGTAGGCATATAGGAGTAAAATCTTCCCCAATAACATGATTTAGACATTTTTTTAAAATAAAAGTTCACATGTTCTCTTTCTGTAAGCCCACATCCTAATAACGTCAACAGTTAAACTCTGGTCATTGTTTGCGTACAGTAAAATGAAACATTTTTTTCATCTATTACATAGAGTTTGAAGAATGAGTTACATTGCCCATCCATAATTTATGATATCCTATTTTCATAGTTAACTTTATAAGTTAGAAATGAGAAGTTAATTTAATCACATTTATTGCTTCAAACCCTCCGAGTTACTCTTTAGGCTTGATTCAATCTCAGATCCTTGTGTTTACTATAAAGGTCTTCATCAGCTGCGTTATCTGACACTTCCAATGTTTAAATTTACTAGGTCAATAGTGAAATAATTTGCAATGTTTACCCATGCTGTGCCAACTTTTACCACATTCGGTGACCACACAGATGGTATACGGTTGCCATGAACGAACAAAACTGGTTCTTAACATAACAATACCCACCTTAAAGTCAATATATATAATGCAAAACTATATCTAAATTCTGTGAAAAAGAAAAAATAAAATATGCCTACCCTTTATGTCTCCCATGTGTCTGTATCACATAATATCTGTTGGAGGACAAAGGCAGATTAAGAACAGGAATGAAAGAAGCATAAAAGTGATCAACTTGATTGGGTCGATTTCCAACACCAGTTGAGTAACGAAGAGTTAGGTCCTTGTTCTGTGGGAAAGGCAGGTCCAGAACCTCGTTGCTTTTGCACAACCCAAAACAACAAGTAAGCTCGGCTTCTTCATCCTGCAGAACCAGAATTCCAGAATTTGGACCTTCTGGGGGAGGCAATGACAGAGCAGAAGGTTGGTTTATGTACATCGAAAGAGGTCTAGTCACATACATGATTTCTCCCTTTTTATTTTCTTGGCGACACAACTTTATTTTTCTTTGTTCTGTTCTTTCTCGGAAAGTTGCATTTGCCCATGTTATATAACCTCGTAATAAGAAGGGAACTCTGAAAAATCAAAGAGGAGAAAGACAATTTCGTATATTGCTCTGACTTGTCAACGAGTCACTCAAAAGGTTAATGATATTTATTAATTATATTAACTAGGGGAGTGAAATCCGTATATTGCCCTGATATGATTTAAAATATGTTTTTTTGACTTGGGTCAAATGAGATGGGAACAGGAACTATCAAACTATTCAACATAAAAGAAGGAAACAAAGAATAGGTCAAAGTTGCGTTCTGCAGATACGAATGAAAATGACTCAGTAAGAAACTAAAAATGAATATATTTTTTTCTGCAGATACAAATGAAAATGACCTGGCAACAAAATTAAAATGAATTTTTTTTCCTTGCAAAGACTAGTTCGCATGGGTTGAATTTTCACATAGGAAAAAAGAATGATGCATGAATACGCATCCTAGTGTAATGCTTGGACTTTGGATAGAGTTACAATGAAATATAATATTGCTTCCCATTTAAAATGTTATCTCATTTTTTATGCCATTATAATGAAAAGGATTACGTGTGTGTGTGTGTAGCTCGTAGCAGCCCAGCTACGGACTTCTCCCCCCCCCCGGCGGGGTCTTCCTTTTTTTTTCTTTTTGTTTTGTTTTTTTTTTTTTTTGCCATTATCAGCTTTTGAGCTAATTTCCTTTTGACCAAATTTTTTTTTTGGGCCCCAACTTTTGCAATTATGATCCTCTCCGTGGATTTGGATTTCCATTTGTCTGATCAAACTTCTAATGTCGTTATTCAGTACGCCACCAACAAGATCTCATGAATAAAAATTCAGAAAGAAAAAAAGAATGGTTCTCACCAGTTTATCCTTAAAATTTTTATGAATATTCAAATAGAATATACTGCAAAACTAAATGAATAAACAAACCCTCTACTTCGTCAACAACAACACAAACAAAACTGAATACTTAGTATACAACACTAGGACTCCAAAACTTTTTTTGCGAATGTACACTTGATAACAAGAAAGAAAGTTTGGTCTGGTCTAAAAAAACAATGGCAGAAACAGAAATCTTTTCATTTTCCTTCATTCCCATTTACTTCTAATCTGATGATGGTGCTTGAACTCATAGTTAAGTACTAAGCTTCCATCCAATCTTTTCAGCACAAAACTTTCAACAAGAACATAACATCCAAATCTCTTCCATTCACTTGTCCCTTTGAATTCTTCTGTTTTCTGAATCCTAACTTGCTTTTCTTTCCCTTCAATCCACCCAAATCTTTCTTGTTCCCATTTCATTCTTTCAATTATTGCTGTACTCAATCCTACACTGGTCTCTTCCCCAATGTTATTATAACTCCTGAACCGCTTGAGACCTTCAACTTCCTTTTCATCAGTTAGAACTTCCCTTTCTGCTACTATAACCTTTTCTTTCTGAAGTACAGCATCCACAAGCACAGTCTTGTTTTCTGTTCCACAATCATTCTCACACGAGAAAAGTTGTTCCCATCTTTGTTCCAGAGTCATCTCATAGAACATTGATCTTCTCATTTCATCTCTCAATGTTCTATGTGCTCCTTCTTTGATAAACATCAAGGGGCAATACCATTTTCCCACAACAGCAGATTCTGAACTTGTGTTTGCCAAGGAGAAGTTGAATTCCGGCAGGCGAGTGCGAAGGGTGTTGTCCACTCCGGCTGCTTCTCCTAAGCTCGAATCAAATGTATCTGAGGCTTTCACTCTCCACCTTGCGCTGAGAAACTTCGGAGCAAATGTGTTTGGAGCAAGAGGTTTAGCAGAGAAACCCTTCCTGAAAGTAATCTTGCTTCGTCTAGGAAATACCTCAAACACTTGGTGTTCGTTACTGATATCTAATTGACAATGAGGTTCAACTGGTACAGAATTATAGAAACAGAAGGTCTCCAATTCTTCCTCATCTATGCTGGTATATGCCTCCCTGCAAAACCAAAAGCAAGTTAAGCACAATACTTTAAAAAAAAATTAAAAAAAATCTTATACATATATATGGAGGTGCAGCACTGAAGATAAATATAAAAGTGACACAGAGAACAAAATCACATTTTAGCGTGAATAATCTGCAGAACCATGATGAGATTGAGATTTATGAGAAAGGAGCTTACCCTCTATGCCTCTCGTTGAGCTGTATGACATAGTAGCGATTGGAAGACAGTGGCTGATCAAGAACTGGAATGAAGGCCACGTGGCGATAATGGGTAGCTCTGTTCAGAGAAATCCCTGATCTGTAAAACAGCTCAATGCTCTTGTTCTGAGGAAAAGGAAGCTCCTTGAGCTGATGGAATTCTCCGAAACAAGACGAAGAAGACGGTTTAACTTCATGTTCATCTTGAATCACCAGAATCCCAGAATGGGGACCTTCAGGAGGATTCAAGGACAGAGAATCAGGAGATTTTCTGTAAAAAGAGAGAGGCCTAGTCACATACATGATCTGATTCTGATCCTCTTGTGGGTTTTTCACTTCTCAGAAATGTCAACACCCACCACCACTACAGCTCACTGTTTCAGCTCTTGCTCGCTCTCTGGTTTCTACGAAGAAACCAATGAATGAATTGTTATGATTTGGTTCGAACGCACTGAGTTATATATATGAGTTAAAAGTTGGACTCGGTCAGCCATGGAAGGAGTGAAGTTTATGCTTGTTTAATGATTGCTCGGAATTGGCCCCAGTCAATTCTTACATGCAAATGCCAACTGTCATGAGAAAGAAATTAAAAATAAAAAAGTAATTTGCATGCAAAAGTAATTTATTCAAGGGAGAAATTTTGGGTCAAAGGTGACTTGTACAAAAGCATGTTTGTGAAAAACCTTACTAATTTTCCGTTGGTAGAAAAAAATCTTACTAATTTGTTAATAATTATAAGTTGTTCTTTATAAATAATTTGGAGCTAGATTAAATAAACTTAGCATACTAAAAATAAGATAAATATAGAATTTATTATTTTTTTAAAAAAGGATTTTTTTTTTACTTCCTCCTATTCTTAATGTAAAATGTTAGTTGACAGTTGAATTTGATTTTAAATATAAAATTGCAATAACGACCACAGGAAGTAATTAATAATTAATAAATTCAAATAAATAACAAATTATTTTATTTTTATAACAACAATTATATTATAAATAAGTCTAAATATAATTAGGAATATAAGCTAGCCCAATTCAACTAGCTCAAAATTTTTCCAGCTCTTAAATTAAAGACAAGCCTAAGGACCAACTCATTGATCATTTTTTTAAAAAAAATATTGTGAGCATTCATGTTATTACTCCGAGCAAAATGAAATTCTTATATCCACCATCACAATTCGTATAAAAATTATTTTTCCAAAAAGATTACTTCACGAATGACAATTTAATTTATAATCCCAAGAAATCACATTTCCGAATCTCTAAAGAAATTACAATCACAATTCATATTTCGCAAATAATAATAAAGGAGAGGAATACTACTTAAAAAGGCAGGGAAAAAAGATTTTAGAAAATAATAAATATATAAACTTTTTTGTTAAAGTATATGTCTACTTCTATTAGAGATAATCCTAATCCAAACACTATCGGGATTTAAATATGGGCATGTCTCCTGACAGGAATTCGAACCTTATTTTACCACATTGTGAGAGACTAGCCTCTTTTACTAGACTCAACTCCCGTGAGTAATAAATATATAAACTCATAAGCTTGACACACCGGAACGGGTTCATATCGGCCCATTTCAATGTGGATTATAACTCAACCAATTCTTTAATGAGTTATCTAGACCAACTCAATAGACCAAATCTTAACTATTAGCTCTAATCTTATATTGATAGTAATGTTGTTCAGATCTTTGATATAAGATCTATTTAACTAATTTGATTAGATTAAAAAAGTTAGGTAAGTTAGTTAATTATAAGAAATATGATATATTTTTCTTAAAATACCATAATTATGTTCCTTAATATCATCTCTCTCACTTCTACTTGATTATGATTGAGATCCATAAGAGTAATTTAAAAAAATTGATAAATATGAAAAATAAGTCTTATATTTAGAATCAAAATCAACTTAACAATTAGATCATATATTAATGACAGGAGGAGTAGTCTTTTTCTTCTTTTTTTTTTTTCCTTTTTCACTCTTTAAAAAGGGTGTTTGACTGTACTTTAAACAGAATTATTTTAAATAAAAAGTGCACGTGCGTAATAAAGAAATATTATTTTGCCTTCTTCAAACTTAATGTACGTCTAGTTAACTGTGATGGTAAAGTACTGTTACAAAAGTCTGGCGATGGGAAAGTGTGGAGAATGGGATGACATTGTCCTCTGATGGTGAGTGCGTCGTTGTCAAATGGAATTTCTTGGAAACACGAAACTTGTCGAGTCGAAGCATTTAAGCTTTTTTTTTTTTCCTTCCCATTTTCCAAGAATGAACACGTGCGTTGTCCCATTCTTTGCTGATATGTTGTATTTGTGAGGAGGTCAACTTTAAGCTTTGAAAAAATCCAAGTAAGATTTTACTGTGTTGAATTAATCAGACTTACAAGTCACTGTCTGAATGGTGGTTGCTTCCCCAGTTTGCGTTGTTCCCTGTGTACTCCTATAGTTTTTGACTGTGCGCCATCTGCGCAGTGTATTAAATTCGTTCAAATAATTTATTTTTTTTACCGGAATTCGTTCAAATAATTGAGCCATCGAATTCGCATGTTTTTAGTATACTACCTCCTGTATTAATTATAAGAGTTAGTTAATTAATTTAAAAGTGTTAAAAAAAGTTAAATTAGTTATTTATAATAAATAAGTGTTGTCTTTTCTAAAATATCCTTATTAATCAAGTGTATTGGTTAGAACTATCATTATTAGAAAGACTACCTTAAAAAATATTTATATAAATATGAGAGACAAAATAGATTGAGGTCTTATATTTAAAACTAAAATAAAAATCAAACAAGGTCTTATATTAACGACCGGAGGTAGTAAGATTTAATTGATTAATTTAAAAATATTTTAAAAAAATTAGTTAAATTAGTTATTTGTAATAAATAGATGTTATTTTTTAAAAAATATTTTGCTAATTCTGTATATTAGTTAAAACTATTATTTGATAAAACTTTTAATCCATACAACTACTACAAAGTTTATTTTGAAAAAATAGATAAATATGAAAGACAAAGTGAATTGAGATTTTATATTTATGACCAAATTAAAAATGAAATTAACTCTTAAATTAAGAGCTGGAGGTAGTGCTATTGAATAAACAAAAATGCAGCAATACAAAAAAAAAAAAGAAGAAGTAATTTAAACATGAAAAAGCTATTATTTGTGTCTTTTTTAGTAGTAAAGAAACTGAATAGAGAAGTAGAAATGAAAAGAATATTTAAACTAGCTTTTTAAAAATAATTTTATAATTTACAAAATAAATCATGTTTTAAAATTGATTTTAGGGAGTATCCAAACTCTTTCTGAAAGTATAATTAATGTTCTAACATGTTAGGCACACTGGATTTCTATGGAACTCACTTCCATGAAAAATAATGGAGTCACTCTTCATGCCTCATCCTATGGAACCCAATGTCTCGTGGGTATTGTCTCTTAAAACTTTACTGACAAAGAAGAATCAAATTAGGAGACATCTTGTTGTGGACAATTAACATGAAACAATAAACAGAAGCAAGTGTCACATGGTAGCCGCCAGCAGAAACATCACAGAAAAGGTCAACGGAAATTACTCACCAAACCCTCCTTTTCCAAATAATGCACTTCTTTTCTTTTTGTTTTTTTTCTGAAAGCGTCAAATTCCAATTCCAATCTTTTGGATAAATGATGAGGTCCATTGTCAAATCTGGCAACCACGTCTCAAAAGAAGCTTTTCTACACTGACATTATGTTGCAATTTCTACATCGTTTTTGGCATGTTATTTATCTCACTAATGCCATAATCACAAGCATTGAGTTCCAAGCTAGGTATTAAAATAATATAATATAATTAAAAAGGCAGCGAAAAAAGATTTTAGAAAATAATAAATATATAAACTTTTTTGCTAAAGTATAGGTATATTTCTATTGGAAGCAATCATTATCGAAACACTATTGGAACCTAGATGTAGGCACATCTCCCGGCAGAAATTCGAACCTTATTTCACCACATTGTAAGAGACTAGCCTCTTTTACTAGATCGGTAATAAATATATAAATTCATAAGCTTGACACACCTACACGGGTTCATATTGGCCCATTTCAATGTGGATTGTGACTCAACCAATTCTTTAATAAGTTAACTCTAATCTTATATTGATAGTAATACTGTTCTAATCTTTAATATAAGATCTATTTAACTAATTTGATTAGATTAAAAAAGTTAGGTAAGTTAGTTAGTTATAAGAAATATGATATATTTTTTTTCTAAAATACCATAATCATTTTTTTTAATATCCTCTCTCACACTTCTACTTGATTATGGTTGTGGGAGTATCCATAGGAATAATTTAAAAATAATAATAAATATGAAAAAGAAGTCTTATATTTACGAGTAAAATCAACTCAATAATTAGGTCATATATTAAGATTCGGAGGAATAGTTTTTTTGTTCTTTTTCAATAGCATAACAAATTAATGTTTAAATTTCACTCTTTAAAAAGGGTAGTTGACTGTACTTTTAATTTAAAGTTTAAACAGAATTATTTTAAATAAAAAAGTGCACGTGCGTAATAAAGAAATATTGTTTTGCATTCTTCAAACTTAATGCATGTCTAGGTAACTATGATGGTAAAGTATTGTCATAGAGGCGTGATTAGGGGTGGAAATAGGCCAGGCGGCCTGGCCTGTAAGTGGCCTGGCCTGGCCTGGCCTATTTCCAAATTAAAACAGGCTCAGGCCTTTTTAAAGGTCTGTTTCTCTTAAAAGGCCAGGCCCAGGCTCTTTAATAAGCCTGTTAAACCTGTTAGGCGGCTTGGGCCTGTTATATTTTTTTAAAAATATTATAATTATAAATTTATAATTAACTTTTTTAAAATAATACCATGTTTTGATTAATATTGTAATATGCCTAATACCACACTTTTATCCTGAATAAGACCATGTTTGGATTACTCTTCAATATACCTTGGATGATAATTTCTATAATATGCACTTTGTTATTCATTCAAATCCTACTGCCCGATGATGATTTCGTGTTTGTCATTTTTGACTTTTATTTACCTATACAAAACTACTTAGTTTTTCTAACGCACATCACCAACAATTGACAATAGAAATAACCCCTCTATGAATTTGATTTCTGTTTATCCCTTGTATTGTGACCATTTTAACTACATCTTCTCCTCAAGTTATTAAATATTTTTCACTTAAATAATATAATTTGAAACATGAACAACAAAATAATATACTACCATTTGAATATTAAATATTTTTCACTTAAATATTTTAGATAATTTTATGTTTGTATTTTATATAATTTGGATTGAGTTATTATAATGTTGAGTTGATTTAAATATGTTTAAAATATTTTTAAAAAAATGCAGGCTTCTTAACAGGCTTCAGGCCAGGCCAGGCTTTTACACAGGCCAGGCTCAGGCTGAATATAAGGCCTGTCATAGACCACAGGCCAGGCTCAGGCCAACAGGCTTCAATACAGGTCTGGCCTGTTAGGCGTAAAGCCTGACCTGACCTGGCCTGTTTCCACCCCTAGGCGTGATGATGGGAAAGTATGGAGAATGGGATGATATTGTCCTCCGATGGTGAGTGCGTCGTTGTCAAATGGAATTTCTTAGAAACACGAAACTTGTAGAGTCGAAGCATTTAAGCTTTATTTTTTTTTTCCATTTTCCAAAAATGAACACGTGCGTTGTCCCTTTCTTTGCTGATATGTTGTATTTGTAAGGAGGTCAACGTTAAGCTCTGAAAAAATCCAAGTAAGATTTTACTGTGTTGAATTAATCAGACTTACAAGTCAATGTCTGAATGGTGGTTGCTTCCACAGTTTGCGTTGTTCCTTGTGTACTCCTATAGTTTTTTACCGTGCGCCATATGCGCAGTGCATTAATTTCGTTCAAATAAATTTTTTTTTTGCCGGAATTCGTTCAAATAATAATTGAGCCATCGAATTCGCATGTTTTTAGTATACTATCTCTTGTATTAATTATAAGAGTTAGTTAATTAATTTAAAAGTATTAAAAAAATAAGTTAAATTAGTTATTTATAATAAATTGGTGCTGACTTTCTTAAAATATCCTTGTTAATCAAGATATTGGTTAGAATCATCATTATTAGAAGGACTATCTTAAAAAAAAAACATAAATATGAGAGATAAAATAGATTTAGATCTTATATTTAGAATCAAAATAAAAATTAAACAAGGTCTTATATTAAGGACCGGAGGTAGTAAGATTTAATTGATTAATTTGAAAATATTTAAAAAAAATTAGTTAAATTAGTTATTTGTAATAAATAGATGTTATTTTTTAAAAAATATTTTTGCTAATTCTGTATATTAGTTAAAACTATCATTTGATAAAACTTTTAATCTGTACAACTACTACAAAGTCTGTTTTGAAAAAATAAATAAATATGAAAGACAAAGTGAATTGAGATTTTATATTTATGATCAAATTAAAAATCAAACTAACTTTTAAATTAAGAGTGGAAGTAGTGCTATTGAATAAACAAAAATGCAGCAATACAAAAAAGAAAAAGAAAAAGAAGTAATTTAAACATAAAAAAGCTATTATTTGTGTCTTTTTTAGTAGTAAGAAACTGAGTAGAGAAGTAGAAATGAAAAGAATATTTAAACTAACTTTTTAAAAATAATTTTATAATATACAAAATAAATCGTGATAAAAAATTTTAATCGGCTTTCATGAAAGCATGTTTTTAAATTGATTTTAGGGAGTATCCAAACTCTTTCTGAAAGTATAATTAATGTTCTAACATGTTAGGCACACTGGATTTCTATGGAACTCACTTTCATGAAAAATAATGGAGTCACTCTTCATGCTTCATCCTATGGAACCCAATGATCCATTATCCCCATTACTCCCTTTGCCCATATGCTACCAAGTGAGTAGCTGAAACATGTTATTTCTTATATTGATACTTACTATTATAAGCTATACTTTTTAGTAATTATTTTATTTTATTTTTTGACCCAAAATTTTATTTTATTTTTTTGAGAACTTACACCAATTCTCTCATGTTGTTTTTTTTTTTTTTTTTTTTGATATGACTATCTAATTAGATTATATTTAAATATTGTTAGCTCAATTGGAAATAGCTCATAACTTCCCTAAAAACATTTTTTACATTCACATGACAATTATGAAAGCGCCTTCAACTAAAACCAACTGTGTCTCATTGGTGTTGTCTCTTAAAACTTTACTGACAAAGAAGAATCAAATTAGGAGACATCTTGTTGTGGATACTTAACATGAAACAGTCAACACAAGTTAGTGTCACATGGTAGCCGCCAGCAGAAACATCACAGAAAAGGTCAACGGAAATTACTCACCAAACCATCCTTTTCCAAATAATGCACTTCTTTTCTTTTTGTTTTTTTTCTGAAAGGGTCAAATTCCAATTCCAATCTTTTGGATAAATGATGAAGTGCATTGTCAAATCTGGCAACCACGTCTCAGAGAGGTTGGCATACTAAGAAGCTTTTCTACACTGACATTATGTTGCAATTTCTACATCGTTTTTGGCATGTTATTTATCTCACTAATGCCATAATCACAAGCATTGAGTTCCAAGCTAGGTGTTAAAATAATATAATATAATTTAACAATATATAAAATATTCATATATAATCTTAAAAATATAATATTCAAATAAAAAGAATTAATTCATAAATAAATGGAATATTCATGTATACATCTTACATGATCCAATAAAATAGAGTTAAAGTAAAAATTGACAGGCTGCTTTTTTTTTTTTTAATCTAAACAATGTCATTTGAAGTTTGGAAGAAAAGAAAAGAAAATATATAAAATTTTAAGATAACTATTCTATTCAAAATTCTTAACGGAACCAATCAAGAGATTAGTTCACTAGCTTGACTAATTCGATTCAAGTTAAATTTTAATATCATGGATTCAAGTGTTATGTATCATTTGGTAAATTAAATAGTTAAAAAATTACATGTTAGGCTGGGAAATGCCTAATGTTAGGTCTGATGTCACCTTGTTCCCAAAACAAAATTGATATGCAAGTTCTCTTCTTCCTCTCTTGGTAATAGCATCAGAACTTAAAATCTCAAGGTCTTGTTCTTTTTCAGCTTATCATTAAAACCGAATATATTAATAAATTAAGATTATTAATTAAATTAGTTGATATGATTTTTTTTAAAACATCTTAAGTATCTTTTCTAATTCTGTTCCCTTCTCCTACTTAATTATTATTGAGAAAATATCAATAAAATTAATTTTAAAAAATTAATAAACACGTGAAGTGAAATATGTCTTAGAGGGTATTAGAAATGATATGCTTTTGAGTACATTGATGAACAGAATCTCATTGTTTCCTGTGATTTATCCCGCGTAGATATATGACATATATTTTTATTATTCTCTCACATCCTTATCAAAAGCACTCAATCATAATTGGAAAAATCTGAAAAGAATATCTCCAAAATTTTAAAATTTCAAATCAGAAATAATGACAAATATATATTGTCATTTATTTTTTAAATATTGTCAATTTTTATTAAAGTATAGTAGCCAAGACTAATTTAAAATTTTAAAATTTAAAGGTATTTTTTTAGGATTCTTGCATCATAATTTCACATAAATTAATAAAATTATTTTTTTTGTAAAATATCAAAATTATTCACAATAAAAATTATTATTTAGAAACATTTGACAAATTAATTATAAAATTTTATAATTAATTAAAGATACTAGGTGGCAAAAATTAATAATACCTCTAATTTTTATTATAAAAGCTAGATAACCAATTTATAAATATTAAGAAAAATAATTAAGTTAGTTATTTGTAACAAATATGTTTTTGATTTTTCTAAACTACCATTGATTAGAAGTCTTCTTAATATATACAACTAATAATTAGACAAAAATTATAAATTTAGAAGATAAAAAGAATTGAAATCTTATATTGAAAACTAAAAAAAATCTCTATTCCGCAAGTATAACGTTTGAATTAATAAAGAACCCTTTCTTCAGTATTTATATGAATCAATATCATTACATTCCAATTCTTTTCCGATGGCTCCCAAGAAATCCCAAATGATTCCAATTTGCGGGCTTATCCAACTCCTACATTTAATTAAAACCAGAGGTAGTACTTTAAATCAGAAGTGTTACTACCTCCGGTCCTTAATATAAAACTCCGTTTAACTTTTATATTGGTTCTAAATATAAGACCCCAATCCATTTTGTCTCTCATATTTACTTTTTTTCCTCTAAGATAGTTCTTTTAATAATTATAGTTTTAACCAACATACTTGGTTAGTAAAGATGTTTTAGGAAAGACAACACCTATTTATTACAAATAACTAACTTAACTTTTTTTCTTAATTTCCTTAAATTAGTCAACTGACTCTTATAATTAGGACCGGAGGTAATATATTATTATAAAACATACAAAAGTCTTATAGCAACGACAAGGAGTAGCGTCATTCTTATCTAATTGTTTTTAATAATAGGATTGATATTTTACATACACAAAATCACTTTCATCTTTTTTTATTTCAAATTCATTACACTTTGGGCATCAAATGAATCATTAAGAGCTATACATATAAAAGTAAAATTTAATAAGATTTATCATCGCTATGATATCATATTTTTTCAACAAAATAATATATTAATCAACAATAAAAATTATTATCAAATGTTAAAAATAAAAAAAAATATACATACAATTTAAATTAAAAAACAGCACTCCTCTCTCATCCTTAATATAAAACTTATTTAACTAATTTGATTAGATTAAGAAAGTTAGGTAAATTAATTAATTATAAGAAATATGATGTTTTTTTTAAAACACTATAATTTTTCTTAATATCCTCCCTCCCTCGCTTACTCGATTATGGTTGAAAAGTACCATAAGAGTAATTTAAAAAATTTGATAAATATGATAAATAGATTTTATATTTAGAATCAAAATTAATTTAACAATTATGTCATATATTAAGGATTGGAGGAGTATAATTTAACTCTTTTCAAAAAGAAAAATGAATATTTCATTATAATACTAAGACCTGAAACCATACCCCACATGAATTTTTTAAATACGTAGACCCGGATTCACTTACTCAGCCCATGTATCTGAAATCTGCCTATACAAAAATATATTTGTGAGTTTTTTTTTTTTTTAAATGCAGTATATCAGATGCTACTACAGATCAAAAGCAAGTACAGAGTACAGGCATCCTTTCGGGCGAAGTATAAGAAATTTTATGTAGATTTACATTCACAAAAGATAGAATATAATTTACAATGCTTAAGTGTCTGCAGCATCACTAAACATCCATGCCATCTGAAAAAACAAAAATTACCAGTACATATGATTTAAATCCTTCATGAGTTTTCCAAATTTCCAACACAACAAAAAATACAAGGACCATAACCCTGACACTATTCACTAGTCACCTGAAAGCATCAGAAGTATAACACAGAACAGGGCAAAGAGAGAAAAATATAAGTTCAAAAAAATTAGTGGAGTATTATTGGTTAAAAAAAAAAAAAGTAGCTTCGAGGGCTGAGATTAAATACGTTTTTATTTATTTTTAATTAAAATCGTCATTTTAGCTCCAAGTTCTTTTCTTTTAAAATAAAACAATAGCACAAAGCAAGATGAATTACAAAAACATAGATTGTGAAGAGAAAGGCATACCGAATGTAAGACATTAGCTAATTTAAGCTTCTTTCCTAGTCACCCTGCAATAGAGCAGAAGATGACAATTAAGGCATCAAATATAATCATAGCTTTTGTAAATCCCTTAACAAAGAAAATGAGGTTGGATCAAGTGGAAATGAATTCAAGAATGAAACAAATGCTCAGTGCTGCAAAATAATTACAGCAATCCATTGATGAGGAGTTACCTGAAGCAATATATTCCCAAGGCAGCTGTGATTTCATGAATGACAGACGTGGCAAAGTGCATATAAATGGTCACTGTTAAGGACCCAAAAAAAAAAAAAAAAAAGAATCGTTAAACCAGTGAAACAATAAAATCTCGGCTTGATTGCACTTAGTCTCTCTACTTTACTCGATAAAGAAATATGGTTCTTTTAGAATCAACTAGAAAGGTCTTCCGCTGTGCCATGCACAGGGAAACAAGTTTTCTTTCAGTAAGAAATGGTTTGATTAAAGTGATATTCTATGTCTCTTATTATTGAATTAATCCCTTGTGAGAAGAGTTGCTGCACATCACAAGCAAAAGGAACTGATTACCTGAATATGCACAAAAACCAAGAAGAACTAATTTCTCATTTATTAGAGGAACCCTGGAAAAAAGAAGAAGATATAAAGTTAAATACCACGTCCATCAACAACAAAATCGAACATTATAATAAAACCACATACCCATCATTCAGCCTTGATGATAGTGCATTAGCAATGGCCAAGGGAAGATACAGCAATGACTGTACAACAGTGCACAAAATCCTCAGATCAATTATTTTTTCAACCAAAACTTTGCTAATGGAATATGTTAAATCTGGAGAAACGTTTTATTTCCAATTAAAAGAGGAGAGAAAAGAACTCGATACCATGCACATTCCAGTCTTTAAGCCTTTGGGTTCATCACACAAGTGGGACAAAATCATCCTTCCCTGCAAAGTTAAGCCCTCTTTAACCACTAGAATATAAAGAATCAGACCAAGCAGAGAGGAGCTACAACTGAGAGATGTACAATCTCACAAGAAACTAACGCAAAAGGTAGGAAACTTTTTCTAGATGTTCTTCCATATCCATAGAAGTTTTTAAGAACCTGCAACACTACCTTAGAAATGTTGTGGGCTTATGGCATTTCAAAAGTATTGATGTCGGTATTGTAAGAAAACCATGGAAAAAGAACATTCCTACTGCTGTTAGTCAAAGTGCAATAAAAAACTACTTCGAAGTGCTCATATACGAATATACCGTCTGCTTGAAGTTACAGTGAAACTGCTGCGAGTAAAGTTTGTGAAAATGCTAGGGTGCTTCTTAAAAGCACTTGGGGATTTTACAAACATCAGATAGAGTAACTTCTACAAAAATTGTTGACTGTGTCAATCAATATGCATCAGCATGACCGTGCAATTATCACCTACAAAAGTTCACACGTCACAGCCACAAATTTTTGTTGAAAGTGGCTTTTGCAGCACTCCATGGGAAAATTTTATCCTTATACATCTATGCATTTGAAGAAGGGACATAAAAGAATATGAACATGTAGGGCCCACATAACTATCTATGCTCATAATCTTTTTTCCCTCTGTCTCTCTTCAGATGCAATATACACATTCGTTCTATGCTCCAGCAAACAGTAGAGTGATCATCCCTATGCTGCATGATTTGTTTCAAACCACACTGGTCGATTTCATTTGGACAGCCTTCTATTGCATTATAAAACAATTCATCCACAGAACAACCATGTAATATTTGCGATACTAAATGACAATTAAACATAGAAAATAATCACTACAGAAAGCAATGACACATGGTATGTCACGAAACAGAAATCAAGACAAAACCCTTAAAGATACGAGAATTCAAATTTTAAAACACCGTTCCCTTACCACAAGAAACCCAAAAGCAAGTCCTGCTCCTATTATAACTAAATGTGGGTAGTCCCCTAGGATATCAGATGGTGACAAATAATCCCTGCACAAAACATGCACCTTAGTAGCTTAGTGTATATAACAGAATAGAAGACAATAACATGAATTTCTTCAGGAAAAAGGGGGATAGTGACAAAAAGATGGGGACAAGGAAAGAAAGGAAGAGTGCAGGTTATACCACAAAAGAACTCCTCCCACTAGTAAAACAAATGGGTAAAGCTGCAAAGAAACCAAAAAAAACAAACATAAACAAAACATTCAATATATGTAGGGCAAGCATCCTCTCAGAACAGTAATTACCATTGCCAACGCAACCCGCATTCTTTGTTTTTTAGCTCGAACAATTTTATAAACATTGTGAATACTGCATGAACAAGAACATATCATTGGCACTCATCATATAAGTGGTATTGTGGATAGATTAATCATACATAGTCTCAATTTTATCCCTTGTTCTGCAGCTAAGTCTACTATACATTTATGATCGAACTAAACAAAACTTAATGGTACTAAACAGAACAGTCAACCAGAAGAGACTACATAGAGGTGTACAAGTAAAATGCAACAATATGAACTCAGAAAAGAGAATATGCGAACTTTTGCAAATGCATAAAAATAGCTTGAACTTCAAAATTATGAAAGTAAGAAATACATACTTAAATGAGACTGTTGGTATAACACCAAAAATTATCACAAAATATAAGACAGCCCTGCATGTTGGAATTCCTGAAACCCAATAACAACAGTCAAAACCAAGTTATTAGTCATAAGCTAAAAATTTGAAAAACTTGTACGCACACATTTTTTTTCAAAGCATATTTAACAAGCACCAAAAATAAAAACCAAAAGACAATTTATCAATTTGCACAGTATACATAATAGTGTGACTTCTGCCTCCTAGCAACAAATTGACAGATTCTCATTTATCTTAAAGAAACTAAAAGTATAAGTAAATTTATAGAACTTGACTACTTAAGTGTAAATTCAATGGTTGCTTTAACATATCTATCAAACTGGACGATTTGCTGAAGAGGGATTGGAATATTACTCTCAAGCATGTTTTTCGCGAAGGAAACAGGTGTGGTGATAAAATAGCCCAACTGAGTCTGAAACTACCTATGGAAAAAGTGGTCTACAAGGAGCCACCGTGTGAAGTCCTGATTATTTTGAAGGAAGATGTAGAAGGCTTCTGCATGCCTCGTAGGATATTTACTTAAGTGTTTTTCTCTAGTTGGGCTTGACCCATTTGTATCACCCAAAAAAAAAAAAAAGTTGGCACTCAAGAGTCAATGTGATGGAGAATTGCTAGTATTGGATTCTAAGTCCCACAGTGAGTAGTATGTGACGCTCAATAGGATATTTAAGTGGGTTGATTTTCCTACCCCAACAGCTAATGTTACGAGAACAAGTCCAAAAGGGAGAATCCAATCCTAAAGACTGGATTGTTGGGTGGAGGAGCCCCCTTGAACTTATAAAATGCGCTTCACTCGGCTTTTTGCAAGTCAAAATCCTTTGTTGGTAGCCCTTTATGTGAACATCAACCTCTCATTGAAAGCACCAATGTTATAATCATAAACCTGAAGGAAGAGCTCAATCTTGAGCCCCTCGAACTTATAAACCATACCTCAATTATGAGATCCTTGGTGTGGGGATCCTAACACAAGGCATTGTGGCAGAACAGAGTAGTGAATTTCAGGTTTAAGATTAAAAATTAAAAAAAAAAAAAAAAAACAGAGTAGTGACTTTCGGGAGATTTTGGCTTTATAAATAATGTAAAAGAAAAAAGGAGCACCTAATAATGCAAAATTGAAACTTCATAGGAGAATTTCCTTCTTATGCCTATTTTAGTTCCTCCATAACCAAGACCATATAACACTGAGCACAGTAGCCTAAACTGACAAGCACTTTGAAGTTCTCCTATACACATGCAAAGTGAAGTGTGGAACCAAGCTAAATAAAAGGAAGAAAATTCATCACAAGTATAAAATGATGTGCCTATAATAGGTAGTAAAATGAACACAAAGGCTTCCAAACTCCAAACCACATGGAAATCTCTCCATGAAATGGATCCTAAAATTTCTCACAGCTAGCAACTGATATAGAAGAGTCATTCAAAGACGTCAGTCCCAAAATAAAATAAAGTTACTTACCCCATACAAAGGGTACCCAGCTTAAAAAGGGTATGGACTTTCCCAATTGTTGAGCCCACCATTGAGCACCTGTAAATTTTTACATTATCGTCATTAGTCAGAGGTAACAGTCAACATTAAGAAGATATCATGACAATGATAATGCACTAGATCTTCTGCAAGTGCAACAAGTAGCTCAGAGAAAGATCATACCAACAACAGCGGTAAAAAAGTGGAGGAGGTATATTATCATAAGACCCTCCGTGGGACCATTAACAACTGGCAGTATAAGGCAATTAGTGAAATAGCTGCATCCAAAACACCATAATAAAAATAATATCATGGTGAGCTTATAAAAAAAGTTTAAAAAAGTGTTATATTGTTGTATTATATAATCATCCAACTAGTGTGCCTTTTACAGCAAGAGAGATGCATTAGTAAGGTAAACATGAATAAAAACGTAATTTTTTTAATAACCATTTAGAAAACAATGCGTGCAGACTCAAGTAGAACCAACTTTTCTCTGACAGAAAGGCCATTAAAAAGAGATTGTACTGCTCCATAGCAGCAAAGCATAAAATTTCAACATGAAAGTTAACATATATAGGAAAAATAATGTAAAAGCACAGCTACCAGATCGCAACATTTAATAAGAAACTTAACTGTTCCCATGTTGCACCATAAAATGGAATTGCAGATATTAACCACCACCAGAAAGTATCTCTTCCACACATGAGAGTGCTCCCAAAAGCCAGTGATTCAAACTGAAACACATTTAACGGATGATCATTACAGCTTTTTAAGGTTAAAAGTAACAACCTAAAATCAGAAAACATACCGTGCAAGCAAGTGCATCACATCCTGCAACATAGTTGAAATTTTTATATCACCTTCAATTTGTTAAGTACCAAGCTATATAATAACATGAAATACAAGGTACAGGAAAATCACCATGATCAAATAATTCACCCAGTGGACTTGAAGAGCTAGTTCGCCGAGCTTGCTTCCCATCAACAGCATCAAACGTCTAGCATATATCAATAAGAAAATCAGTAAAAGAATGGATTATGGACAAGAATGGATATTTTGGCATCATATGGTAAGTCTACCCTACGTACACAAACTGACAACAGCATCACCCAATTTTACTAAAACATCAAAGCTTGCTTAATTAGCAGGAAATGAACCTTGTTATGGCCAGAAGTGATGAACAGTTTAATGCAAATAGTCATGGACCATTTTAATATTTGAACTATTAGTAAATCCACAATTCTTATACGTTAGTTCCTCTGTAATGACTCATGATTCTGTACCATCTCTTACCAAGATGCTGAAACTCTTTTAACATTAATCCCACGAGCATTTCACAATTTCAAAACTAAATCCCCAATTTTGATGTTCTTTACAAGTCAGCAATAAAATTACACCCATGACAATCAAGAGCAGAAGATCAGCACAAAAAATATGATATGTAGGAAACGGACATAGCTGCGTAAAATTTATTAGGCTCACAGCCATCGAGGTAACAAAAAAATACATAAAGGTTGAAGTAACGAAGTGGAGAAGGAAGCAACATATGAACTGCATCTGGAGATTTTAAGCAGACCTGGTATAAAAACAGAAGCACTCCATGAGCTAAGTGAACCCATCTTGGTGGAGGTGAGTCCAGATGAGGTGAGTAAATCTACATTCAGATAAATAAATCACAATAACACAAATCAGTCATTGTTTTAGTGCAGCCACTGACACAGTAACTATATTGTCCTTCACGACCATGTTCATGACTTGAGAGAAAATCAAGATCTACCGAATATGATTCTACATAAGAAGACATCAATGAAACATGGAATCATCAGCAATTTGAACGAGAAGATGCATACCTAATTCACTCATTGTTAAAAACATGATATCAATTGACAATGATATGACTTTCAACTTCTAAAGTAGGACACTTAAACAAACTCATCTCATACTCACATAGCCGAGTAGAGCAGACAGGATTAAGAACATGAATCCTGTTAGAGTTATCTACAATCAATAAATTAATTTCATCAGTGCCAAGGATAAAGCTTATAATAACTAAAGTAACAGTTCAACACTCATACAGCAAAGAGGGAGCAAATATATACCATGTTTGGACTGCAAAAAGATTCCAGAATGCCAAGATGCCAACAGATGGTAGAAAGATAAAAGTAAAGAAGTTAGTGCAATTCAGAACACAATAACTAAACTTGTACTCCAAAAAAAAAAAAATCATAGCCAAAAGGGTAAATGACACTGTCTCCAGCTTCAATAGTGAAAGTGTGCAGTTGTAGCCGGAAGTTCAGAATTCTCAACGTGTTAAACTATTATTGTCATGATGTACTGCAAATTTGGCATAATGTCGCCATTTATTTTATATCTAGGTGATGGAGGTATTATTTGCTTTGATCTTGCTGCCACAAAGGACAGGGGAAGCCCTTTCAAGCGTATCGCATCTTTCCAAGTGCTCTTAGCAGGGAATACAGTAAAATCTCTAAACTGTTATTGATAGCTAATTGAAGCCTAAACCCACTTCTAAGAGAAGTTGAGAACATAAGCAACGCAATTAGACCAGTCTTTCCAATATACACCGAAATTCTGAATAATGTAAACTGAATAAACATCGGGTCATACAGAGGATAATTTTCACTCTGCATGCCTTAGATTGACACCGATAACACTAAAAGCCGAAACACTATCACTTTGTCAAAACTTAATCAGTCCCAATGATGTTCATGATATACTGGTAAATGAATGCTATTATGGTGATATGATTAAGCGATGAAATGGAAAGAACCTAGGATCAAAAAAATGAAAGCACTCACGGCATCCATAGAGGAAAAATTTTAACAAAACGAGTCCAAAAGGGTTGGAGAACATATTTGGCGACATAGGAATGATCTACACCACTGTATTTGTATCTATGCAGGGCTGCTACACCATGAGCCCCAATATAACCCATGGCCTCGAGTAAATCACTGGGAATTGCTTTCTTCAAAGACCAATCAAGCGTCGGCACAAACTACTGAACTTCCAACAAACATCAATCTGACACAATCAATACAGAAATTGGCATGATAACCTGTAAACATAATGAAGAACAAAATTAAACTTCCATGCTCAAAAAAGCAACTTGAACAAATTCAAAATATTGCAACCATATCGTGAAGTTACAAACAAAAACGCAAAATTTACGCATTTTGCATCGAACGCGAAACTTCCAAATAAAAAGGGAAGATGTCAAGTGCGAAAGCAAACGTAAAAGGATCTAATGTTGAACCAAGAATGCATGGAAATGGTAAAGAAACAGATCAAAGAAAAAATAGAGAAGAACCAGCAAGCGAAACAAGAAAGAAGCGAAGACAATGAAGAGTTAAGTTCTTGACCTATCTGAATGATGCAGGAAAGTAGAGGTTAGAGAAAATGACGAGAGTGGGGAAGTTTTGCAGAGGAAGGAGCTTCCAATAGAGAGGAAACGAAAAGGGTGAATCAGACTTTCTTCTCTCCCGCCCTTGAAGCACAGGCTCTCATGGTCTCACCAAAATAGAAATAGAAATGCAACGTAAAAAAGAAAATTTATTAATTGTTTTTAATAATTAATTTTTAAATTTTTTTAATTAAATAAAATAATTATGTGAATATTACACACCTGTAATTTTATCATCAAAATATTTCTGCTATGTTTTATGACATTATTATATAATTTGTTTATCAGTACAATAACAAAGATATGGAAAGCAATCTTGACTTTTTGGTTAAAAAAAAAAGCAATCTTGAAGAAGTCTATTTATTAAGTTAGATAAATAATTTAATATTATTAAGCACTGGATGTAGTACAATAAAGCCAAATTAGTACTTTCTATTATTCTAGCTTAAAAAAAGAAATAATATTAAATTAATTAAGTGTAAATAAATCCCACTGTTGGCTCATTGGGGATCATTAGGCTTTTATTTTTGCCAAAAAAAAAAAATCATATGATTAGGTTTTATCCTTTGTTTATCACTTTCATATTCTGTATTTAATGGTTTTATGCATAAATATCAACACTAAAGAATCTAGCAGGTCGTAAGGGTGATCAATGACATACTATCTCTACTTCTAAATATAAGAAATAGTTAACTAATTTGAGTAGATTAAGGAAATAAATTAAATTAGTTATTTATAATCAATATGTATTATTTTTTTAAAAAATATCCTTATTAATTAAGTGTATTGAGTAGAATTACTATTATTAGAATGATTACCTTAAGAAAAAATAGATAAATATGAGAGATAAAATGGATTGGGATCTTATATTTATAACCAAAATAAAAATCAAACGAGCTCTTATACCAAGGACAAGAGGTAGAATATTACTCCTCCGGTCCTAAATATAAGACCCTTATACTAGAGAGTATAAGGGTCTTACATTTAGGATCGGAAGAGTATTAAAAAACTGTTCACACCGAGACAAAGGTTAACGAGTTGACACGAAAGATTCCATAATTTAAGGAAAAAAGATCAAACATTAATATTAATATGGGGGGAAGCTCCGAAAAATATCTTAATAAATATGTGTGGACGTAACTAGTTTGGATTGCGGCATTAAAGTGTTTGGTAATAACTAAAGGTTCTTTTAAAAAGAACTTTTTTTTAATAAAACAAAACAAATTTTTTTACATATTTATTTTGTATTTTATAAAAATATTTTTAAAATTATAATTTAGCTTTCATCATCTACATTTATGGGGGGAAAAAAACTGGTTTTCATGCTTATCATAAGAGTGGGTATTATAGTGTTTATCCGCTTAACGATATGATAATATACCTTCATCTGTCAATAAAATTTTGAAATTCCCCCTGCGAAGTGCGAATCATAAGACTTTCGCTTTTTTAACAGAGAAGCATCAATGCTGGCAGGCTCGTTTACCTTCATAGGCCCGTTTGACAGAACAGTAAAAATATTTTTATAAACAAATTTTATGTAAATTAAGATAAAAATTTTTTTACATACTTATCTTCTATTCTGTAAATTATTATTAAAAAGTAGCTTATAAATTGTTCTAAATATGTGTATAGTTTCCTTGTCTCAATTTGTCAGTGGCTCAGTTTTAATGTGTTTAAAAAAATTCAATTGAAAATTTATTTTATAATTTTTTTCCGATATCTAAGAGGCAATTATTCTATGCGAGGGTGCGCTGAGAGAAGAGGCCGACTCAAGAAGAGAATGCAATGTTTGGGTGAAAATTAATTATGATTTCAAAAGTAATTTTATGATATACTCATCCAGTTTTTAATACAAGACCTAATTATTGAGTTAATTTTGATCCTAAATAAAATATTTATTTATTATATTTATTAATTTTTTTCAAATTATCCCTATAGATACTCTCTCAGATATAATTAAGTAGAAGAGGGAAAGAGGATATTAAGAAAGATGATTATAGTGTTTTAGGAAAAACATGTCATATTTTTTATAATTAACTAACTTAACTAATTTTCTTAATTTATTCAAATTAGTTAAATAGATCTTGTATTAAAGTCTAGAAGAGTATCAAATAAATATATTAAAGGAGTTTTGTTTCGATTTGTGCATAAATACTTTTTAAAAAGGAATAATGTGCTTAAATATCTTTAAAATATCTATAAAAGCAAGTTTTTTTAGCTCTTATATGTCTAAAATTTATATTCATAACAAAAATATTCTAACCATTATGTACTGTTAAATTATATAGTTTGATCAGTGTTTTTAATGGTCAAATTTAACAGCGGATATCAGTTTATAGTAAAAATGTTATGAAATAAAAATTTCAAGGTATATAAAAGCCAAACAAATTTTAAGTACTGATAACTCTTTTTTTTAACTTTTTTTACCAGGGAGAATTCCTTTGTAAAAGGTTTTTTTTTTTTTATGTAGTCTGAATCCAACTTGGGTTTGGGGGGCATCACTGACCGAGAAGCCTAATTGACATTCTTCCCATTATTGATGCAGGGCCACGTAAATTAATTCAAGTAAATTAAATAAATTATTTCATTATAATAATTATAATATAATTTTCTTAAAATACTCATATAATATTATATTACATATCAATTTACAAGTTAAATAAATTAATTTTAAAAAATAAATATAAGAAATAAAGCAAGTGAAATTATTACATTAAGTGAGAAAGAGGATCCAATAACACTCATTTCTTATAAATATTATTTTGGGATCTGATCTCCCAACATTCTTCGTATGATCTACAAGAGTTAGTATAGATTGCCATTTAACATAGCACATTCATATAATTTATTTTTAATTTGGGATGGGAAGATTGATAACAAAGGCATTATTTTGTCATGTTCTCGGAATATAGTTTTCTTTTAATCAAGAAAAGTTGTTAAAGTTGTGTTTGGATTCGATTAGCACTTTCATTGTGCAGCTTTCCTCTCACTATGGATCATTAAATTAAAATAAAATCCAGATTAATTAAGGCAAATAAAAAAAGTGACCCAAAAAAAAAAAGAGAGAACTTAAAGTGGCTCCGAAAGTGATCCAAGTTCCTTTTGCAAGAGCTTAGGAAGGAAGAAGAAAGAAACCAATTAAGAAAGTGCCAATAAAAAGTAATAAAGACAGATAGAATTCCAATAAATTAAAAAAAAGGTAAAGACAGACAGAATAATCTTTTGGAAATGGTGTACTACATATTTTACGCATATTCCATCTACATGTTCCCTTGGTAACTTGTTCATAACTTTTTATACTGGCCAGAAATTTTATAACCCAGATTCTAGCAACCATGTATGATGTATTATTGTATGGAATCTGAAAAAGCATATCACATTATTCATGATTTTTCTTATTTTTTTTCCTAATACCATATATGATATTCTTTTTATTTTATTTTACACAATTAAATACATTCATGCACACAAATATGTTAACACCAGATTCGAGCCTAGAACCCCATCCACACATGTTGGGTGACGCCGCCATTACCATTGCCAATGATATGTAATATTCAACATAGTCATATTTGAACAAATAAAATTTAGATGTTTTCTTAAATTAATTCTAAGAGCAAGAGGTTCATTTGTACATTAATCAAAATTTGTGAAGGTTGTATGTAATTTAACATTTAATTTTTATATGTTTCTTTGAAAAAAAATAAAAACTACTCCTCTGGTCCTTAATATAAGACCCATTTAACTAATTTGATTAGATTAAGGAAGTTAGGTAAGTTAGTTAATTATAAAAAAAGTGACACATTTTTCCTAAAATACCATAATCATCTTTCTTAATACCCCCTCTCCCTTTTCTACTTAATTATGGTTGAGGAAGTATCCATAGGGATAATTTAGAGAAAATTGATAAATATGAGAAACGGGTCTTATATTTAGGACCAAAACTAACTCAAGAATTGGGTCCTATATTAAGGACCGGAGGAGTATATCAATTTTTTTTAGTTAAAATTATAACGAAATTGGTACCCTGCTACTTCACAGAAGAGTCCCTAGGCGTTTACGGACCAACCCTTTTGATAGCTGTGGGATGTGAATGGGAATAGAGTGAGACAATGAAATTGCTGATGATACCCACAATTTATGAGAGCTTTTATAAGACAATGACCTATCTAATGTGGGATCCGCATTCCGTGCTCATTATCTTGATGAGTACGGAGTGCTCAACATTCAAAACGTGGACGTTTTGAGTGCTGAGCACGATGGACCTTTTTTTTTATTACAAAAAAATATATGTATTAAAATTATTTTTAGTTAAAGTTTATCTAATACTCTTAAATTTTTTTTTTACACATATTCAATATTTTAAAATATTTTATCATATCCTGAAATATTTTCTCATATGTATTTAGTGTTCTAAAATATTTTCTGACAATACATTTGAAAAAGTATTTAAGAATCTAGTATTTTAAAGAGCTTAGGAAGGAAGAAGAAAGAAACCAATTAAGAAAGTGCCAATAAAAAGTAATAAAGACAGATAGAATTCCAATAAATTAAAAAAAAGGTAAAGACAGACAGAATAATCTTTTGGAAATGGTGTACTACATATTTTACGCATATTCCATCTACATATTCCCTTGGTAACTTGTTCATAACTTTTTATACTGGCCAGAAATTTTATAACCCAGATTCTAGCAACCATGTATGATGTATTATTGTATGGAATCTGAAAAAGCATATCACATTATTCATGATTTTTCTTATTTTTTTTCCTAATACCATATATGATATTCTTTTTATTTTATTTTATACAATTAAATACATTCATGCACACAAATATGTTAACATCAGATTCGGGCCTAGAACCCCATCCACACATGTCGGGTGGCACCACTATTGCCATTATCAATGATATATAATATTCAACTTTATAGTCATATTTGAACAAATAAAATTTAGATGTTTTCTTAAATTAATTCTAAGATCAAGAGGGTCATTTGTACATTAATCAAAACTTGTGAAAGTTATATGTAATTTAACATTTAACTTTTATATGTTTCTTTGAAAAAAAATAAAAATAAAAACCATATCAATTTTTTTAGCTCCAATTATAGACGAAATTGGTACCCTGCTACTTCACAGAAGAGTACCTAGGTGTTTACAGACCTAGCGTTTTGATGGTTGTGGGATGCGGATGGAAATAGGGTTAGATAATGAAAGTGCTGATGACACACAATTTTGTGAGAGCTTTTATGAGACAATGACCTATCTGATGTGTTATTTCAACTATGGAATTAAAACCTAATAATGGTCCACAAGCAAAATTGATGGTTGATATGATGAGCAATCTCATCTCTTTAAGAAGGAGAATACATATTCAAATTATGTGAAACGTACTTATTGAGAAGATTTTAATCTTAACGATCCTGACCGACAAAAATTTGTCTCATGACCAAAATGAATTAGAAAGACTATGTATTTATGCCAAAAAAAACCCAATAGTTATCAATCAATAATCATACCAATGAACTATTAAATTAATCTTTTAAATCAGTAGAGCTAAAAGTTCTGACAGTGTTTATTGGGTTAGATTTTATATACTTTTTTATTGGTTAATCTGAAAACCATGTCATTTTCTTGTTAAAAAGATTAATAACCCGCCAAATTACCATCTATAAAATTACTTATAATTTATACATGAATATTTCATTTACTTATAAATTAATATCTTTTTATTTAAATATTATTATTTCAAGATCATATATAAAAATTTTTATATACATTAATTAAATTAAATTACCACTAACTCTGGTTTTATTTTTTAAACAACACCACTAACTCATAAACTAATGTTGTCTTCACCGATTTATATATACTTACGCACACAAACATGTCAACATCATATTTAAGTTTAAGATTTCATCTAAACAACAGATGACATTGTTATTAGGACATTTTGTCGCCAATCACTTATTTAATAATTGGTGCCATGTTATTAGCTTGATACTGACACGTAGATAAATTCATAAGGACACACGGCCTTGGATGGCTGTGGGGACGGGTAACGCGGTGTTATCTGTGAAGTTGATTTGTCCAATAGCAATTGGAAGCTTCCTATTCTTCCTGCTTAGAGGCCAAGACATTGACCAGTTTTCCCGTATTGCGTCATTTCACCTTCACATTCACGGCAACCAGTAAGTTCTTTCTACTTGTCTTCAGGCCCCCCCCCCCCCCCAAAAAAAAAAAGGAGTTCGTTCTACTTGTCCGTCCCCAAATGAATTTTTGGACTGAACAACGTTATTATTAAATAATTCTCCTAAATATACACCCGGAAGCCATAAGTTGCGAGCAAGTTATAATACTACCTCCGATCCTAATTATAAGACCCAGTTGACTTATTTGAGGAGATTAAGGAAGTAAGTTAAGTTAGTTATTTGTAATAAATAAGTGTTGTCATTCCTAAAATATCCTTGCTAATTAAGTATATTGACTAGAACTATCATTATTAGAAGGATTATCTTGAAAAAAAATGCATAAATATGAGAGACAAAATGGATTGGGGTCTTATAATTAGGACCAAACAAAAAGTCAAACGGAGTCTTATAATAAGGACCGGAGGTAGTAATAAAATATTAGTAATCTAGTCACCCCTGGCAACAAAAACCCTTTCACATGATGAAAAGGTCACGAGTTCTCATTGTATGTACTAATAGGTATGTGTTGTAATATAATTCCCAATTACTTTTAATTAGATATGACAATTTAAATTTATCATAAACATGAAATCAATGAAAAGAGTTGACGAGGAGGAAGGAAAAAAAAAAAGGAATAGGACAGTGTATGAAAAGACTACAGAGACCATTTATGCCCCAAGCCCAAGTGCCTTTGGTTTTTTATTCAGCGGGTGTATAGATAGAAACAAAATCAAGGTTTTAAAAATGTTTTTATAGTATACAAAATAAATATGTAGAGAAAATTATCTTAATTGGTGGAAAAGTGCTTCTGGGGTGTTCCAAACACTTCCGTAGGGGTTGTTTGGGCACCATAAAAAGTGTTTCAAAAATATTTTTTCACAAATCGAGATAAACTCTTTTATATTTTTACTTCGTATATCGTAAAAACACTTTTAAAACTATGGTTTTGATTTCATCCAAACACTTATTTGAACATATTTTATTTTTTTTAAAAAAAAAAGCCCAGAAGGGTTTGGGCTGCACTTCGACCTCTGCTTTTGTGACATCTATTGATTCTAATTTTCTATTACAGCGCTAAGGTTGGATTGTCAAAGTCCGCAACTTTTGAAGATGATCCGATGCATCTTTGGACTCGTTTGTTACGAGAGAGTATGAGATTAGTTTCCCCCAATAGTTAATTTTTCCTTATTTTGGGCTCAGCCCTCTTTGGTATATAAACAAACAAAACTTTTTATTAAAAGCAGTTAAATTTAGCAGAAAGTTTGGTGGATCACAACACGGCAAATTCCTGCTGAGTGAAGTGCCCTTCAAATATAAATACTTTTGATAAGACAATATCCATGTCTAGAAGGGACAAAAAAACCCTTCTTAGGTTGGGTCCCCACGATCAAATTCTTTTCCTGTGCACTAATATTAGGAGTTCAGATTTTTATTCAAGTTTTGGTAACTTGGTTTTGGACAGATCATAAGCGTCCAGTGAGGAAAAAATAAATATGAATAATTTTTTAAAATTTTATTTAGTACTAACAGGTCTCAAGGAATTTAACATTTACATGTTGAGTTGCGTAATTGACAAGTCAAGTTTAATAATTTAAGAAGTAAAATTTTCGCATGTATGAATCGAGTTAGTCATTTAGAAGACAAATTTGTAAATATCAAATCCCTTGGGACCTGTTAACATGACAAGAAATTCAATAAACTTGTATGCAATTAATGTTCTTCCGCGGGACTGTGGGTAATTTTTTTCCCATTAGTTCTTTTAGAATATTTATTAATTTTCTAAATTTTTCTATACTAGACATTGTTGTTGGAATGAAGAAAACAATTATTTAAGTAAAATTCATTAATATTATTATTGATTGATTTTGGATTCGTGCATGCACTACCTTAATGAGCAATATATGTAATTAATTGCAAGTTGTAAAATATTACAAATTTCATGTGGTATTGCTTGCAAATTAAGAATTTTTCCTCCACTAGAACTGGATCTCAAATATTTTCTAGCATTTTCCTTGCACAGAGTTTCCTTCCAGACGTGGAAAAATCATGTGCTAAGTTTGACTTTTGGCCTATAATTTATAATAATTTAGTATTTTGTTTTTTTAGTTCAATTCACCTTTTTATGCTTCGTTTGATATATTATTAAGTTCACTGTCATGAGAAAAAGATATATCATCAAAGAAGGCGATGAAGCGCGATGAAGCTTCTCACAAGAACTATACCAAATTCAAGAAAGATAGGATTAGGATTCTGCAATTTTTTTTTGAAAAAAAGGTCAACTTTTCACTATATAGAATTCTAAAGTTTATTTATAAACCTCATTTTATGTTATTAGAAGTAAATCTCTTTCAAAAGTTAATCTTGTTCTTATTTTCAGCATGGATAAGTAATGTTCATATTGATCTGTTCACTTATGGTTTAAATGTTAATATTTTTTTTAATAAAAAAACATTATTTTTTATTTTGAAAGAAAGAGAGTGATTTTCCCTGCCTCCAAAAGGGATTAGTAAAATAAAAAAGGTGACCACAATTTGCCGAAGGTACTGTAATTTAAGTGAACAAAAACATCCAACATGCTAAATTTGATATGAATGACCTGATCACCTGAAGATAGACACAAGTATGATAAAATATCTTAGTCATGTTCTGTTTTTTTTTTTTTTTTCCAATTTAATTGATTAGATATCTTTAAAATATTTAAATAACTTCATGCTTTTTTGTATTTGGCTTGCTCCAGATACATTCTGTGTAATGCTGGAGAAATCGTAGTCTCAAATCAAAGTTGGAATTTTTCTTTTTATAAATATAGAATCATTAACTTTTTTGGCTAAAGAAGCAAGCTGAAGAAAGCCGGTTGCAGTCAATTTATTTATCAGGGATTGACTTTGGCTTAGGAATGAGGCAATGAGCTTCATGTCTTCAACTCTCTATCTGTTACTTAGCACCTAGCTGCCATTAGCATAGACAAAAAGCCTCAAACAATCATTATTTTCATTTGCCACTTTTCTTCTTTGATTTGATTTTCCTTCTTATTCTTCATTCTTCCCAGATTTTCCTTCTCCCCAAACAAACTCCTTGGAGATTCCCATGGGGAGGTCATGCCTTCCCAGATGCAAACTAACCAGAGTAATGGGTTTTATGCAGATAATTCTGGGAGGCATGGTTATATTAGTAAGCATTTTAAGTCTTATCAGATTCTATTATGCAGGTTTTTTCTTGAAGAATTCAGATCTATGCCACCATTTCTCCAATTCCAGGGAGGTTTTTGAAGGTTTTGACACCAAATCACTATCTGACAGAGTTGAAGAAGTGCTGGAAAATTTGGAAACTTTACAAGCTAAGCTTGAGACAAAATCACAAGAAATGGAGAAAGACAAGGCCATATTGGACAAGAAATACTTGGAGGAAGAAATACTCAAACCCCTTCGTGCTTCCAATGTTGCTCTCAGACAGATTAGGCTTCCAAAGGCTGAAGGAATCAGAAATGACTCCGCAATAAAAGAAGACCCTTTGATCAATTTCTTCATCACAGAGGAGATCAGGAAGTACATTACCCCAAAGGAGAACAGAGAAGTGAAGATCAATGTGTATGGTTCAGAGAGGGTGTATAACACAATAGGGCATGCATGTGTCCTACATAAGAAGGATCTAGAACAGTACATGGACTATGACATTGGGTCCTATTGTGATGATGATTGGAACTTAGCTCAGAAACTTATGCTCAACGGGTGTGACCCTTTGCCTAGAAGAAGATGTTTAACAAGAGCTTCTAAGGTATACCAAAAGCCCTATCCTATAAATGAGTCACTTTGGAAGATACCAGATGACAGGAATGTAAGGTGGGGGAATTATCAGTGCAGAAACTTTCAGTGCTTATCAAGCAAAAACCCCAAAAGGGGATATTCCAAATGTGTTGGGTGTTTTGAGATGGAAAGGGAAAAGCTGAAATGGGTCACAAATAGTTCAGTTTTAGCAGATTTTCTGATAACAGATGTTCTGAGAATTAGGCCTGGGGAGATAAGGATAGGTCTAGATTTTGGGATAGGAACTGGGACTTTTGCTGCGAGAATGAGGGAGCATAATGTGACTATTGTCACAACTGCCCTAAACTTAGGGGCACCTTTCAGTGAGATGATAGCTCTAAGGGGTTTGGTTCCTCTTTATGTTACTTTGAACCAGAGGCTTCCATTATTTGATAATACTATGGACTTGATTCACACTGGTGGATTTCTTGATGGTTGGATTGACCTTTTGCTCTTGGATTTTATCCTATATGACTGGGACAGGATCCTTAGACCTGGAGGCCTGTTATGGATAGATAGGTTCTTTTGTAACAAAAAGGATTTGGATGATTATGTCTACATGTTTCTGCAATTGAGATACAAGAAGCACAAGTGGGCTATATCTCCGAAGTCAAAGGATGAGGTTTACCTCTCCGCATTATTGGAAAAGCCTCCAAGAGCTATATGAATACAAGCACATTTATTTCTATTATTTTTTGATATTATTGTATTACTTATATATATGTAAGAGCAATCCAACGTTTCCCGTATTCTTCTTCTACCGGCTTGATTGTGCTGGAATAAAGTGTTAAAATATCATTTTTAGAGAGTTCCTTGTTTTATGTTCATTTTCTTTTTCTTTGTTTATGATTGCATCAAGAGGGATGATGTTCATTTCCCAGTTAAAGTATTAAACATAGCTGTCATGGTTTAGACAAATATAAGAGTGGGATTAGAAAAAGATTTGAATATGCCAGTAGAAACTTTGCCAATTACTATTTAAGACGGTTTGTTTTCGCTGGTTGTTCCATACCAGGATAACCCCATCGTTGAAAGTTTTATGCACGTAAGTGGGGGAAAAGTGAAGCTGTCCAACTTTGTAAAGTACCAACAGAGCAGGATAATTGAAATTGAGAGATGAGGTGGAGAAAGAAAGTTTCATAAAAAGGGACATCAGAACCAAAAAAAAAAAAAAGAGACATGGTTTAATTTGGCACAGATTATTTCTTGAAAAAAAAAATCATATAAAAAATAATAGTTTTGCATCATTTAGTAGCGCCGTACAATCATTTGACTAAGAATATTGCTGATTTAAAGTAATGATACTTTAATTACAGCTACATAGGAATTGACAGAAGACCCAATCCATAGCCTCCCATGATGTTCTTGCACTTCACTGACAAACTCAAGCTCTGGACCTTCTCTTCCATCCAAAATCTCCAAAATGTTTCTCTTCATATCTAACTTCACTCCCACTGGATCTTTCCCTAATTTCTGAGCTTCATTTGCATTTTGAACTGATGTAGTTCTATTACTATATAGTGCCACCCAGAAATCTCCATTCTTGTTTCTTTTGATATTATCTGGTGGCCTTTCAAGTTTTGCATACAGTTCTGAAGTGTAAGTCTTTGAGCCTTTGAGCCAAAATTTATAAATCTTGCCTGAATCTGTTTCTGCTACCAGAAGGAATGAGCCATCCTTGTTCAAAGCCACACCATTTGCAAATTCCAAGCCTTGCAGCAAGATCTCTACTTTCTTAGTATTTGGATCATATTTTAGCAATCTTCCCGTCTTATCTCCTTTTAGGGATATCATTCTCCCTTCCCTTTTACATAAACGAAAACTTTTTAAAGACTGTTTAGAAATTCTTTTGCCAAATATAAATGGTAGATTTGAAAGTCACTTCTCTAAAAGAGACCGTGGCTTGCTTTTGCTTTTTGAAATTTTAGAGAGGAGTTAAACTTTTAACTATCCATTTTTCCCTCGCTACCCCTCATCCACACCACACATTTCCCCTCCCTCTTCCATAACCATAGGATCATAAACATTAGTTATGTAAGTGACAACCATACAAGCCCAATTATAGTTAGACTGAGATGTATATTATGCCTAGAAATTTCAAAGTAGCCAGGAAGAGGAATAAAATTACCTTCTTTGATAAACAGTGCTGCTATCTGAGAAATAAACCACACCTGTTTGCTCATCAACATCTAAGCCATTCAAGAATTTGAAGGGAACAGCAACTTCATCTGCAGAAATGGCCAGTTGCTTGGCCACACCACCATTAGTTTCAACCATTAAGAGGCCAAAGTATGCATCTGCTATGTAAAGATTGCATGTTTTTCGGTCAAATTTGAGTCCCAGTGGCCTTCCACAAGTAGGTTCCTTGTTTGGATCTGTTGATCCATCACATAGTTTCCTGTCCCTATAATATAATCAAACATTTGGAAACACATAATATTCAGTAAAACCAAGGAAATTCAATATACACTGAGTGTAGTTCTTCAGCGGTTCAGACAGTAAACATCACAGAAGTTAGGTAGACAGAAGGAGCTATGAGATTCCAAACTAAACTCATAGGGACATGTTCTATAGGATTCTAAATCCAATATAGATTTCTAAGTGTAATATATAGTTATGTCAATATTACAGATTATTTTTAACTTAAGATTCATGAATAGTTTAATATACATGTAAATTTGAGATCTTGCCTGTGTGGTGAGGTGATGGCAAATTCGAACCATCCTTTGTGAGTTCCTTCCCATTTGAGAATTCTGCCGTCTGATACGCCAGCATATGGCCCCTCGCCATTACAGTCAAAGGATAAGCTTTCAGGGCCTGTAACGTTGGGGAGTTTGATTTCATGGTAGTTTTTCAAGCCATCGATGAGAATCACTTTACCAGAAGAAAATGTGAAGTAGGTAGCTGCAAATGAGAGTAGCAGAGAGAAGAAAAGTGGAGGAGGAGAGGAAGAAAAAGAAGATGGCTTCATGGCTGTGGTAAAAAGGAAGAGATCATTCAGAAATGAAGCACATATTGTTCATTCACAAATGTTGTGCTATGTTTTAAATAGAGGATTGAAGCATAAGTTGTATTAAGAAATTATTAAATACTATTCAAGTCAAATGATCTCATTGGTCTCTTGATTCTGTAGATGGCCAAGCAATTCATACTCTTCATTTTTATAAAATGTTTGTAACTTTTTGACATTTCTTCTTAATTGTCCAATAAGAAGGAATCCTACAATGTCCTGATAGTTCAGCCAATTAACCTGCTATGTTTTAAAAATAATGGATTACATATTGCGTTTTACAATAGTTGAAAAGGATGGAGGGGGTTTTCTTTGGTTGTGCTATGTTTTAAATAGAGGATTGAAGCATAAGTTGTATTAAGGAAATTAATTAAATACTATTCAAGTCAAATGATCTCATTGGTCTCTTGATTCTGTAGATGGCCAAGCAATTCATACTCTTCATTTTTATAAAATGTTTGTAACTTTTTGACATTTCTTCTTAATTGTCCAATAAGAAGAATCCTACAATGTCCTGATAGTTCAGCCAATTAACCTGCTATGTTTAAAAAATAATGGATTACATATTGCGTTTTACAATAGTTGAAAAGGATGGAGGGGGTTTTCTTTTTAAGCTGACCAAAAACAAAAGTCACTCGAAAAATGGAATATATTATTCTAGATTTTCAACCATATTTGTATTTTAAAGTTTGTCTTTGCGTTATAACTTATCTCTCTTAATAAATGAATACTAAATTATACATTCTTTCTTTTTTTTTTAATACTAAATTATTTATTATAGGTCAAAATTGTACAGACGGCATTAGACTGAGGTTGACATTGTCATAATGTCATTCATATGTGCAAATGCAAAGCTTTTCTATAGAGTTGGTAGCTAGTTTCAACATACATTTTTTTTTTCTTGGCCAAACAAAATGTACTTTTTAATGCCTGAAATTCGAATAATTCTTCTTTTAAATATCATATTAATTCAAATACAGCCGAGCAATAATAACTCAGCAGAACTAATTAGTTTCTCAGCATGTAGAGAAGGATAATGCTACTAGTGCTTTTATGAATAGAATTTAATTTGGCAGCAATATAACTTATATATAATTCTCTCCATATATTATTCTTCTTATTTAGTCCTGGATGAATTTTGGACTTTTGAGTTTGTTTTATTTAATTATATATTGTTAGATCCCAGATTAAAACCACATCTTGCTGAAAGTGGCTATCAAACCAAACGGCACAAGTTTCAAAACCACGGTTGGGAACTGGAAAACCAGAAAACACAGCTTTTTTGCCGAATCACGTCAGAGCCCAAAATCATGGTTGGAAAAGACCAACATTAGTTTTGTCTAATCTCTGTTTGTCCAAATTCAATTTTAGCCAACCTTAACTTTGCCTGTAAGCAAGTTCACAGATCTGGGGGTGTTTGGATAGAAACCAAACCATGGTTTCAGAAGTGCTTTACGGATTACGAAGTAAATATGTGGAGGAGATTACCTCGTTTGCGGAAAAGTGCTTCTGAAACCATGGTTTGGGGTTTCCCAAACACCCCCTCTAGTCTCCCCTATGCAAACTTCAGTTCGATTAATGTGGAACAAATCACACAACATGCAAGTAGGGGTGCATTGCGGCTAGCCTACTTTGAAGTACAAACAGAGTAGGGCCTGTTGGGTGACCCTCAAAACCATGGTTTGGGAGGCAAAACCATGGTTTTGGTGAGATGTCACCCAAACAGCATCAATTTTGGGTTAATAATTTGAAACCATGTTTTGGACCAAAACCATGATTTTGGAATCAAAAACCATGGTTTCAAGAGAAATGAATTCATTATGCTTCTGGCTCAAATTGGAGAGATGATTGTGTCTGTTAGAGTAGATATCAACAATAATATAACTTTAACATTTCTCAATTATTTTTTTATAAACATATTTAACCTTACATCTTATAAACATATATACACATATTAATTATTTATTAATTACATTATCTTATGTATTATTAATTATGTTGGTAAAAAATATAGATTAACAATTTTATTCCTTCAAATTAAAATATATCATAAAATTTATCTTTTATATAATTATCATATAAATTATGTTTTTTAATAATTTGTATATATAAAAAGTACTTCTGATAATAACTATCCAAACACTCTTATTTCTCAGAATCACTTTTTTACAAAATCTATTCTTCATAGAATCTATTCTTCCCAGAATCTATTTTTCAAAAAGCTATTCTCCAAATCATGGTTTGGTTTCATCCAAACACACCCTATAAAGAGTTTTAAATAATATTAGTGAATGTAACAATGAATGCTAAGATTTCACACTTAATTATTGTATCAACTAACCTAAATGTGATGGTATTTATAGTTTTTTTTTAATAAGAGCTAGTCATAAGAAACAAGATTATAGCCATTGAAAACCCTAAAGATATGATATAAAAAAGGCGATTTTTACCAACTACAATATTAGGGGGTGTTTGGATGAAGCCAAACCATGGTTTGAAGAATAGCTTCTGGAGAATTGATTCTGGAGAGAATAGATTTTCTGAAAAAGTAATTCTGATAAAGTGAGAGTGTTTGGATAGATTTTGTCAGAAGTGCTTTTTACATGTAGAAATTACAAAAAAAAACATAAGTTTAAATGATAATTATATATAAGATATATTTCATAATATATGTTTATTTGAAGTAAATAAATAATATTAATAAAAAAATTTAATACGTATATAAATTAATAAAATAAATAAATATGTTTTTTGTAAAATAATTTAATAAAATAATTAAATATGTATATATATTAATAAAATAATTAAAATTAATACGTATATATATATTAATAAAGTAATTAAATATTTTTTTTGTAAAATAATTTATTTCGCCAACAAAAAATATGATCATTTCTTAAAGATTTTAAAGATGAAAAAATCCCATAATTTTTTTTCTCACAAAATTAAAGAACCACACAAAAAATTTCATATCAATTGTCTTAATAATAGAGGTTGCAACGAATATATTTGTCCAAGTACTTTTTTTTTTAACAACACATTACATTATCTGAAAAGAAAAAAGGAAATAAAAAGACATGACTATTCTCGTATATAGTGAACAATTTGATCTCTTATGGAGTCATGAAGTCGAGTCATGTGAGATGAAGATTCTATTGATGAAGGTATATGTGAAGAACCAACTTCATCATCATCATTATTTTCTTCTCCATAAGAACCTTCTTGTTCAAACTGAATGAAACCAGGATCAGAAATAGATGTTGATCTAATGAAGTTATGTATGGCCATTGTTGCACAAACAATTTGAACCTGTGTTGGAAAGTCATAGCTCGGCATGTTTCCTAAAATTGCAAACTTACTCTTCCAAACTCCAAAAGTTCTTTCAATAGTGCTTCGTAGACTTGAGTGCAAATAATTAAACGCCTCATTGTCATTTTCAAGTGCAGAGATGACCTTCAAAAATCAGGGAGATGATAGCATTCACGTCTGTAGGGACCAAGGTATCCCACGGGTGTCGGATAGCCAGCATCCACCAAATAATATTTGCTTACATGAAATATATGATTGGTGTTAATAAACTTTGTTTTCTAACAGTATCGCATAAATAAATTGTAGCAATTTAAAATATACCTTGAGTCGGATGGGGAAAGTTCATGGAAGGAGTTGTGAGAGCGTGGTCAAATATATGAGCATCATACGCACTACCTTCCCATCCGGCTAATACAAAAGTGAAGCACATGTCCTAATCGCAAATCGCCATTACATTTTGCGTCACTCTTCCTTTTCGGTTAACAAATTTTGTTTGCTCAGTTGCATTAACAATGCATGAAATATGTGTTTCATTAATTGCTCCAATAGCATATTTGAAAAAGGGCCAGTATCGACCACTGGGCTGTATTTTTGAATGCAAATGCTGAAATGTTGGATCTTTTGGTTTGATATTGGACATAGCAAGCCTACAGCATGCCAGTAAGACATTATGGAAATGTCTACTAATTGTCTCCCCTGAATGCTGAAATCTTTCTTGCTACATTCTACTACTAAGCGCATGGCCAACTGTATTTAAAAACATTGCAACCATTTCATGTATCCCAACATTTCTAGTTTCCTTAAGACCGTGTTGCTGCAATTCTGTGCAAAGACTGGAAACACTTCTCTTTCCATCCTCTAAACATGTTATAACAACGAGTGGAATGGCCTTGTAAAATGTCCCTTACCCATGCCCTGCTGTATAAATACTTGTATGCTGGGGCTCTTTACACAAATGAAGAGAAGCATATCCACCAACTGCTACTGCAACTTGATTAATCCGTTTTTGTCCGTCGTTTATGATACTTTTCTGCAATTTTAATTTCATCAGCCATTTTTATCTTGTCCTATGCACATAGATATAAAATTCAGAAATCCTCATATGAAATTACTACTAACATTTAACAAGGAAATAAGTTGTCTGATTCCTAAAGAAGTTTAGCAGTCACATAATACAATAGTGCTGGTTACATCATTCCCAAAAATATATGCAAATTATCACAGTCATCTCCTGAGTAACACAAAAAGTAGTCAAATACTATGATAAGCAACACAAATGAAGTCTCAATATTTAGTTGCGTGCTTCAAGAAGATCAGGAGTCTTTCCCTCTTGTTCTTCAGAGCCACATACATCTCCCTTGTAGCTGGCTTGTCCATAAGGAGTGTTGTGCATCGGCCAAACAAATCAGGATCATCAACAACTTTATCAACTTGGTTAAGGTGCTCTATGACTCCTGCAATTGACGTCTCATAAGCACATTCTTCTTCTTCTACCTTCCTAGCACGTGCTTCTGAAATCTCTTCATGTTCACGCTGAGAATCATTTTCATTTGCTTGAGCTATCTTGCTTAATGCATCCTCTATTTTCATAGTGGCAGTGTTCTTCTTCTTCATGGATTCACCCTTTTTTCTAACCCCTAATGAGCTACTAGGTCGATTGCCACCTATGCTTCTACCCCCACGAATGTTTTCCTGTCTCATCCCAGTGTTGCCTCCACTTCCTCCTCTATTGTCATTGAATGTGACCGAATTAAACTCCCCGCTTATGCTAGTTGGTGCCCCCAATATTTCATCACTATCTCCAGACCCTTCTTCCATATCATTTTCGGGAACTCCTTCGCTTGGAAGCGTCATGGAAGAAGGTGCCCATGACTGTGGTCCAGTTGCAGTGACAGACCCAAAGAGTTGAGTCAATTCAGTGCAAAATTGAAGCCCTCTTTCTCTAAATTTCTCGTAGCCTGGAACTTCCTGCGCATTCAACACCAAAAATATTATTTATTATCAAAATGTTAACATCAGAGAAATTGCAAGCTCAAATGAAGTTAAATGATTACCACTATTTTCCTCTCCCACCAATCATCAGGGGCACTAACAGTATTCCTTTCGGCATCCCACCCCAAACTTGTCTCATGGAGCAACCTATCCCATAACTGCCACTCCTTTCGCAGAGAGTCAAATTTGTTCTTTAATTGGATTTTTGTATAGGCTCTCCCAGTCTTTGCGGTGAAGTTGTCCTCAAGACTTGACCAAGCCTGCTTGGTCAAGCTAGTTCCTTTTCTTTCCCCTTTCTCAACTTCTTCAATGCATAGGTTAATAAAGACCTTTGTGGCTCTTATATCTCACGAAGCTTTTCCATTTTGTTTACTCATGATGCTATGGACCAATTATAACATTTCAGTCATCACAAGTTCAACCCAAAAAACATACCATTCAATTCGGAGATATGATATAACAGGCATAGTATTTAACAAGTATAGCCACATGTTCTATACCGTTTATATCAAGTTAATTGAAATACAAAATTAAGGTCAACAAAACAGATCTTCTGTCTTCAATAAAGCACAAAAAATGAGAACTAATCAACAAAAGAGCAGCAACCGTGAACAAGAAATCCAAACAACACTAGTTTCAGCTACTCTTATTCCAAAAAATTTCACCTTTGCGGAAAAATGGTATATGCGATAGCAACAGGACATTTACAATACGTGAGAAAAATTTCAATGTTCTGTCTCTAAAATAAAATCCAAGAAAAAGAAAATAAGATCAACAAATAAGAATAATTTCAGTAGCACAAGCATCCACAACCAAAAACCAATGCTCTGCCTCTCATACCCACACAGACGAAGCCACACGATGCTCTGTCTCTCATACACACACACACACGAAGCCACATGATGCTCTGTCTGTCATACGCGCACACACGAAGCCACAGCCAGTCACAACCAAGCGAACAACCATACTTGTACACACACACGAAGTTGACTGGAGTTTTAGAGGGGCGATGGCAACTAACCGCTGGCAACAAGTCGATTGAGTTTCGAAGGGGCAACGGCAACTCACCGATGGCAAAACCTTGGTCAGGTTTCAAACGGGACGACGGCAATTCATCGAATTTGATCAACCCACATGATGCTTTGTCTCTCATACACACATACACGAAGCCATAACCAGTCACAACCAAGCAAACACCCAAGAGTTTCACTGAAGAAGAGGGGAGAGCTCACCTGAAACGCTAGATCTGAGCGATGGAACCAGACACGGTGACCTCAGCAAACGATGACCGAACGAACTGAACACGAAAGAAGATTTTGTTAATCGAATGTGCTATCAAATTTCAGAAGGAGCGACGGAAACTCACTAGTGGCAACAAGTCGACTGGACTTTCAGCACAGGTGACGGCAACTCACAGGTGGCAACAACCTTGGTCGAGTTTCAGAAGGTACGACCCAGTGGCAGCAAGTTCGGTCTAGGGGCAACGCAACTCACCAGTGCACAAATGCTCGGTCGATTTTCTCAGAAGGGGCGACGGCAGATGCAAACTGAGAATGGGAGAAGAGGACAGTAATTCGATCGAATTTCTCAGGGGCAACGGCAAATGCAAGGTGAGAATGGGAGAGACGGTCTAATTATTTTTCCTATTTTTCACCGTTGGGAGCTCTGACAAGAATCATTATTACTGTAACGACTACTTATCCATCCTCAGAAGCGAAAAATTGCTGCTTATCATTAAACCTTAGTTTGGCCGTGCAAAACCTTGGTTTTCCCTGAAACTATGGTTTTGCAAAAAATCAGAGTGTTTGGCAATCCTTTTACCCAAACCATGGTTTGGGCCTCAGAATTGCTTCTACTCAAATTGCCAAACACCCCCTAAATGTTTGCCAGAAAGGTCATTAATCTGTTAAGTGAAAGGTTAATGCATTAAGTACAGTGTAAAACTAGAATTTATTGCCTGTTATTGTCTCATGCTAGCGTTAAATATGGAAGCTCATTATTTTGTTTTTGAGATAAGGTGTAAATTTACTCCGAAATATTACAGCTAAGAGCTATGAGTATCATGAAGCTTTTTAATTTTCAATGTCAACCTGAAAGTTACAAAAAGGTAGTAATTTTGTCCTGACTGTTATTTCAGTTAATTTAGACTGTTAGTTTGATCAGATTGCTTATGTGACATGCCATGTCATCATCTCTCATTTTCTCTATTCCACGTCACCCCCACCTCATCATCCCCTCCCTCACCCCCTTACGAGTTTCAGAACCCCCGTCTTTTTCTCTCTCTCCCTTTTCTTCCAAGTTCCAGTACGCCATCAATGTACACAGAAGAGAATGTAATAAAGAGAAAGAAGACAAAGTAACCAACCCAAGAATCCAACACCGCAGAACGAGATCATCACATATATGCAGAAAGGCAAATGATATTATCACAAAAAAATTGCAGATGATAACGACGAGGCTTTGTCAAAATCCCTATATCACACCACAATCACTCTGATAAAATAAAAAGGTTTGCAAGAAAGATCTCTGGAGGTTTTTTGCCAAATTTGAGTTGCTAACGATGATTTGTGAAAGAGAATAACTCAACGATCCAAATTTATTTTTTTGTTCTTCTCCCAGCAATTCAGATTTCAAAGGAAAACATAAACCAAAAATATAAATTTTAGAAAACATAAATCGAACACAATTTTGGAGATTGAACCCATAAATCTACTGTGGTAATAAATGGTGAGAACCTGCGAGAGAAGACAACAAGAAGCACAAAGATGAGATCTCGAACCACGATGGAAAAAGAGGCATGAAGATGAAATCTTCAACTAGCAGAGGAAGACACGATGAGGAACTCAATCTTCTGAACACCCCAAAAAAAAAAAAAAAAAAAAAACAGAGCATAGTATTCAATCCCCCAGTGGTCGGCAGTGATATGGTCATCCAACACTCCGAATCGATTGAGTTAGCAGCGAGAGGAGAAGGTTGTTTTGCAGCTACTAGGCTTTCGGATATGTGAATCTATATTCGTGATCTCCGTCTCCACCTCCGATGCCGAGGTAAGAGCAAATGGACTGATCGACCCAATGCATCCCCTGAACTTCTACTGCACCAACAGGAACTATGCGGTCTCCATCTCCGACGCCGCCATCGGCCCCTATATCCATCATCAACGGCTACGGCAACAACAGAAACTAGTCCATCTCCGTCTCCGACGCGGTCATCAGTCCCCGTATCCATAATCAATGGTGAGCGATTCTTGAATCTCTAAGAAAGGGAGGGAGGGGCAACAACAATGAAGGCAAATGGTAAAGACGAGAGAGAGGGGCAGCGAAGGCCTTCTTGTTGGCATTTTAGAGAGCTTGAAAGTACGAGTGAGAGAGATGGAAATTTTCTGGAACTCAAAGGGAGTTAGAGAGGGGATGATGAGGGTGGCGAGTGATTTGAGAGTAGAAGACGTAAGAGTTAATGAGGTGGCATCTCATGTGGCATGCCACATAAGCAATTTGGTCAAACTAACAGTAAAATTAACTGAGATAATGGTCAGGATAAAATTACTATGTTTTTGTAAGACTTAAACTAAAAGCTTTCCTAACCCGCGTAGCTCCTAACCGTGTACTTCTCGGATAAATTGGTACTTTTTTTTTCTTTGTGAAACAAAACACAAAGAAAACAAGCCAAAGAAGATAGCCGTGAGAGTGCACAATAATAAACTCTGACCACAGCTAGCCTCTTTAGCTTGTTTTGCACTCTGACCATAGCTAGCTTCTTTAGCTTGTTTTTTTTTGTGTTTTTTTTTTCCCACTGTTGTTGTGTGTGTATACTCCTCCAATCTTTAACATAGGATCCTAATTGTTGAGTTGATTTTGATTCTAAATATAAGACATATTTTTCATATTTATTAATTTTTTCTAAATTATTCTTATGGATCTCCTTCAACTATAATCAAATAGAAGAGGGAAAAAAGATGTTAAGAAAGATGATTATGGTGTTTTAAGAAAAACATGTCATATTTTTTATAATTAATTAACTTATCTAACTTTCTTAATTCTATCAAATTAGTTAAATAGTCTTATATTAAAGATCAGAAGAGTACAAAAGCGTTTCATGTGGAAGTCGACATGCTAAATAAGAAAATATGAAAACAATCTCTTTAAAAAAAATACCGTTAACATGTAAAGTCTTCTCTTATATCTTCAACTTGATAATTTTGTCATATAATTTGCAATAAACCCTGCAAAATAATCTTTCCACTAGCTTTGTTATCATCAAGTAAGTTGATTCAATATTCTTTCCTCTTTTTTTTTTTCTTTTTATGATGACAAAATCTTAGATCAAGTTAGTAAGCTCATAAAGGTTTGCTTCCCCCTATTCTATGTATATACATAAGAAACTAAAGAACAAGGGAACAATAGCCTATAAAGCACAATGAGAATATTAACAATCATTTCATTCAACTAAAAGATATTCAATACAAGGTATGTTTGAATGAAATGCAATAAGCATGATATAATATAATAATGATACAATCAAATAATATTGAGTTAACAACAATAACAAAGCTTTATTCTATTAAATGGGATTGGCTATATATAATTCAAAATCATCATTGTACTCTATTAATAATCATATCTTTAAATAACTTGTTAACCGAAAGATTTCGCTTAATAATTTCATTGAGTGTTCTCTTCGACTTTACTCAACAAGATATAAAAATAATAAAGATACAAATATATTGAATAAAAAGGATACAACTATATTGAAAAGCTAGACATTATTATTTATAGCAACATAATCTTTATCAGGAGACCCTATCCACAACTTCCCATCATGTTCTTCCACTTCACTTACAGAGTTAAGCTCTTGGCCACCTCCTCCATCCAGAACCTCCAAAGCTCTCCATTTTGGTCAAATTTCACAGCAACCGGGTCTACTTTTCTCCGCCATGGCATTAGAGTCTCTTCTGCACTCTTAAATTATGATCTGCATGTTCAAGCACTGCCCTATAACTGTTCATTGCCACCAGAAATCTCCATTGTCATTTGTCTTGATGTTATCCGGGGCCCTTTTAAGTGTTGCAAAATGTTCTGAAGTGTAGGCTCTAGAACCTTTCAGCCACACCTTGTGAATGATATTAAAAGTTGATTCTGCCAACAAAAGGAATGAACCATCCTTGCTTAAAGCCACACCATTTGGGAATGCTATGCCCTGGACCAAGACTTGTGCTTTCTTACTACTTGGGTCATACTTAAGCAACCTTCCCGTTTTATCTCCTGTAAGGACTACCAATTGGTAATCCCTTTCACAAACAGGAAGCTGTAATTTATCTAAATTTTGAAGCTATCAAAGGAAAAAAAAAGAGTAAGCAATTATGCAGCAAAAAAAATAGTGATATACCTACCATCTTTGGAATACAGTGCTGCTCTCTGAGAAATAAACCACACCAGATTGTTCATCAATGTCTAAGGCATTGAGGAAGTGGAAAGGAGAGCCATCATTAGCAGAAGTGGCTAGTTGGTGAGCCACACCGCCACTTGGTCCCACCATTAAGAGGCCAAAGTATGCATCTGCTATGTAAAGATTGCATGTTTTCTTGTGAAACTTGAGTCCCAATGGCCTCCCACATGTAGGTTCCTTTTTTGGATCTGTTGTTCCATCACAAAATTTCCTGTCCCTATAGTAAAACATCAAGATATGATATGTTTAGAGATTGAATTGCTAATCAACTAGTTTTGGAAAAAATCATTTCAAAGCTCATCCTGTTCAAGCTTTTAATGTGGCCCGGCAAGAAAAATCTGGCTTTTAAGACATACCAAACAGCTTGCCACAATGAAACAGACTTAAAATGGGCCGGTAATAAAGATTTTAACCTAAATAAAAGGTTTTGCTGCTACAACGGGAGAGAAAGTATAACTTTTAGCAACGAATCAGTGATGCTATAATCTAGATTTTTTTTAAATTACTCTGGGTCTAGATCTTAAACAAAATAATTTATTAGATAATTTTGTTAATGCAATTAAACTAGATGATAAAATGATACACAGTGATAATCAATTGTAAATTCTAGCAACTGATTTAAATATGAAAAAATTGAGATAAATTCCTTATTAGAAAATTAATTGGCAAATGATTCTTAAAATAATGGATTGCACAATGAAAAATAAGTTGCGCATAAAGAAAGTTAAATTGCATAAAAGAAAGATGATTTGCTGAGGACATAAATGACTAATTTGAATATAAGAAAGATGACTTGCACATTAATGAAATTAAGTTGCACATAAAAGAAGTTAAATTGCAGAGAGTCCTTAGAAATTACTGCAAGACCCATCCCATCATCCGGGAATACAAAATTTCTCAATGATAGATTTATCCCTAATTTTTAGTAACTATAGAAATACAAAAATTCGACTCGAAGATAGAAGTTAAGCTTCGTTCTTAAAAAAAACTTACATCAAAATACAACTTCTTTCTAAGATTTTCTTAGGCAAATGCAAATTTCAGCTCGAAATTAAATCATGTTTTCATATGAAATATTATTTTGACCCAGATAAGAATGTCTTGATTCAAAATTAAAGCTTTTTGTACCCAAAAAAAAAATCAGAGATTTGGACTTAAACATGCTTAATCCAAATTTTTAATTGGGCCTATTATTGGGCGAACTCCATGACATTTTAGTGGCCCTTAGGGCCTGTTTGGGTATCCCAAAACCGTGGTTTCAGAAGCACTTTTCCGCAAAACGAGATAATCTCCTCCACATATTTACTTCGTAATCCGTAAAAACACTTCTGAAACCATGGTTTGGTTTCTATCCAAACACACCCTTAGTTTCCCAAATAACTGCTGTCTTAAACCTAGCTTAGGAAACGGGGGTTAAAATCTCATTGTAAAAACGCGCGGGTCCTGGGATAGAATGAACCTATGGGATTACAATTCTCTTTGGTGTAATTTCTTTTAAGCTTTTGCTTTCTTTTGCACCCAAAAGAAAAAAGCACACAGAAACACGTAAACAACCATGTAACTTAATGATATAAATTTCCATGCATGAAACGTCGCGAGTTTGATAGTCTCATATCATTAGTACTTGCTCTGGGGAAAAAAACACACGGACACATTTAGGGGTGAGGAAAACCGAACCGTAACCAAAAACCAAACCAAACTGAATTTAATTTCAGTTTTTCGGTTCGCTTATTTCGGTTTTCGGTTATATATTCTGTTTTTATTTTTTAAACAATTCGGTTTCAGTGTTCGGTTCGGTTAATAGAAAAAAAATGTCGGTTATAACCGAATAACCGAAATAAATATATTATATATTTATATTTAATAAATATTATTATAATAAATATATATGTGGGTATATGTAAACTTTTTAAATATATTTATATTCAATAAATATGGTTATAATAAATATTATTATAATAAATCACATTTAATGATGAAATATTTATTAATTAATAGTTGTAATTGTGTTTATATTATTTTTTTAATTTAAAATTATTTTTTATATTATATATTTCGGTTAATCGGTTAACCGAACCGAAATTTTCAGTTAATTCGGTTTCGGTTAGTTCGGTTAATCGGTTTCGGTTCGGTGTTTAAAATGTACTCTATTCGGTTATTCGATTAATTCGGTTATTACCGATAACCGAACCGAAAAACCAAATACTCACTCCTAGATACATTGGCAGAAAGGGAAAGGAAAGATAAACACAGACACAGATGGTGGTGTTGTTACATGCCTGTGTGGTGAGGTGAGAGCAAACTCGAGCCATTGTTTGAGAGTTTGATTCCATTTGAGAATCCGGCCGTCGGAGACACCGGCGTAAGGGCCGTCGCCGTTGCAGTCGAAGGCTAAGCTTTCAGGGCCTACAACTTTTGGGATTCTGATCAGTTCATTGGGAGCCGAGTTATTAGCAGCAGCAAGTGATGATGAGAGTAACACAGAGGCTAATACCAAGATCACAGAAGAAGAAGAAGAACAAGAAAGAGGCTTCATGGAGAAAAGACCCAGAGATATCACTTTGGGGATGAAGCATTTAGAATTAGAACTATCATATTCCTCTGGTCCTTATTATAAGACCCAATTTGACTTTTTATTTGGTCCTAATTATAAGACCCAATCTATTTTGTCTCTTATATTTATGCATTTTTTTCCAAGATAATCCTTCTAATAATAATAGTTTTAGCCAATATACTTAATTAGCAAGGATATTTTAGGAATGACAACACTTATTTATTATAAATAACTAATTTAACTTATTTCCTTAATCTCCTCAAATAAGTCAATGGGTCTTATAATTAGGACCGGAGGAGTATTTAATTTTGCAGAACGTACGACATGAATGAAAGACAGCAGCAGTAAGTGTGACTTGACAGAATGGGTGTTAAGGAAATAAATATACGCGCAGAGCCGCAGACTACGGAATGTTAGTCGTTAGATGTCAATGTCCCATTTGATGTTAACGATTCTGCCTCTGTTCCGTTAGAGTCAGCAACGCTGGGCGTTTGGTTTACGCTGAGTCCTGAAGTTCCGTTTCCTTCCGTTTACCTGCCCGGTGACTCACCGTATAAAGTATAAACAATGATCATCAAATGAGGGAATGTAAATTTTTGCCCAATATAGGAGTACAGTAGAACATGTTATGAATATAATAATATTTTTATAGATATCTATATATCACTCATTATTTTTTATATCTCCTATAATCTCTAATATCTCTCATTATCTCTATATCCTACAATTATCTCATATTATTATGTAATCTATAGGTGCTATCAAAAATATAAAGCTGTGTCTATAAATAGAGGCCATGTATAATGTATTGAACACACTTGAATGGAATGAGAAGTACTTTTTCTTATTGATTCTCTCTTCTTTTATGTGATTCTTTTTTATTTTTTCTATATTCATAACACGTTATTAACACGAAGCTCTAACCAAGATGTGTATGATATACCTTTCTATCCCAGCGCAATTTTAGTGCATCATCTTTATTATTTTTTTAGAGTATCCTTTCTGTTCAAATAAAAATACGTCGAGCATCATATATATGGTGTTTCAGAGTATCTCTATTCCTATTCAATTTATCTAGGATAATCTAAGTCATTATATGAAATTAAAAGGATTATCTACCTTTTAATTTTACAGTACTCATGTTATTGAATGATATGAAAATAATAAACATATGATATTTTAAAACCCCAAAAGCTTATGGTTCAAATATCAAGGGATACAAATTATTTTTAAAATATATATTTACTATATAGAGTCTTGAAGAATAATAACTTATAAATAGCCCCGAAGACTTATGATTTAAATCTTCGTAACTATATAGTTTGATTTTAGTCCTTATACATCTTTTCAAATTTTTGTTGAGTTTATAAATTTATGAATAAGCTTTGAAGCATTACATAATATATACAAAGAAGTGAAGTTTTTGAATAATGAAATTTCTAGAGAATTTTATGTTTTGAAAAAAAATATATACTTCATACTTTGAAAAAGCATAATAAGAAGTAAAGTATATCATATAGTGAAAAAATACTATATGTTAGTTCCTGAACAACTATATATATTAGAGTATTTGTTTATCAAAAGGTCTTAAAGTGATAACTTTATTCGATTGAAATCTATTATCATATACAAATCAGGAAGCATTTGGATTTCCAAATTAAAAATATGTTATTAGCTTACTATATGTTATTCATTCTATTGGAAATATAGAAATAAGAAAAATATATTTATATGACTCACTTGAGCGGGAGATTATTGAAATACAAGTGTGAATTATTTTGGATGGAATTTGTTATTATTGATATTAATATCATTCCTTATATCTCATATTCCTTTTGAAAAAAAGCTCCAGAAGAGTCAGTAGTGCTCAACCTTTTATAAGTACACAAGTTTTTACCATTGGGTAAAAGATAAAAAATAACGCTCTAGAAGAGCTATATTATGATTTATTATCTTGGAGATAAAATCCATAATTAATAACATATTCCTTATAAAATATTCAAGAGAAAAATAAATAATATAACATGGTAATAAGAAGTTTACTAATAATTGAGAATAATTTTACAATAAACTAGAAGTTTTTATACATTCATAGTTTGGCATGACCAGTCAAATCATCCCGGATCATAATAATGCAAAATATCATGAAAAATGTACATTATCATTTATTTAAAAACGGGAAGATTCTTTAAAAATGATGTATGATTCAAGAATTTTTATGTGTTATTTGTTCTCAAAAGAACTAAATAAGAAAACATCATTAGCTATGCTCAAAATCGGATCTGTGCATATTTATAATGTATCAACTATATATAGGCCCATTTAGACACCATGTGGACCAAAATAATACTCTATAAAGTGAAAGATGCATCTATAAAATGGTCACAGATGTTTATGATCAACTTGTAACTTAAAGTTTGTAAATATGTTTAGATAATTACATAGAGTACATAAGTTCTTGATTCTAAAATCAATATGATTTTTGTTGAGATTGCTAGTGATTGTTCCTTTCGTTACTGATGATTATGTATTTAGTAAAAGCTTCCATAAGTAGCTAGATAGATGAGTTTATGAGAATAGAATTCCCATTTGAGTATTGAGTTGAGATTATTGATTTTATATATTTTACACATAAATGCATCAAGCCAACAATGTATTGTAAATTTCCTATTATAATTGGCTTTTGGTTAGGAGCCAGACATTTTTCATCTTAGAATGTGCAATATCTATTATTCTACCACAATAATGCACATAGATGGATATTTAAAAGTAAGTTGGGATCACTATTGGATAAGAATTTCCTAATTTTTGTTTGTCTCTAAATGAAATAAAATAATATTTCTAAAGGAGATTTATGGATTTGGGAGACCTACATACATGTTCCCAATATGAGAGGGAAGAAAATGTGTAGCTGGAAAAGAAAAACACATAGAATGCATTTTCACTATTAAATATAGATCCTCAAAAATAGTAGTATATAACTAGAAGTTCATAAAGTATTACATTCGTAAAACATTATTAATAGCTGTCAGATGTAATTACTGATTCAAATGAGAATTTTTAATTCTTATATCCCGCTAAAAGTACTCTTATTCTTGAAGACATGCTAAAAGCATGAGATTATGGTCGGTTCCAAAAGAAAGAAAAAAGAGCAAATGTTCATGATGATCATACTAAGGAGGCATGAATTGCAAAAGAGGTTAAAATATAACTCTTTGACCCTGAAGAGGTTTAAGTGTCTAAAAGCAATAAAGCGATTTCAATATGTTATGTCATAAAAGAAAGGAACCGATAATAAAAGAATATAAAATTGTCAACAATAATTTTATTGATGATACTACATGATCAAATGAGGATCTTATATATAAATTTGTCAAGAGATACAGACAAGACAAAAAAATGGTTGGCCAATAGAAAAGAAAAGACGCAATGTAACAGGGATTTGTGTATCTCTAGCCCATGCACTTGAAGTGTAATGCTAGTATTATGTAAATAGGTATTTGTACAATATAAAGAGAATAATAAAGTCTGGTGGTGGATTAAATTACAGGTCTTATCAATCTGGCAGTCTGGTAATAAATGAAGTTTTTTCATGTGCGTCTTAGAAATATATATAACTATAATGTATGACTCACTTTATAATGAAATTATATGTGAATCCCAGAAAGATTCAAATCCTCGTATAAATTCAAACGATCCAATACAGGAATAGATATAGATCATAATGTATGAAAATCCTTGAAGTATTTAAGTTTCTAGAAGCATACAATTATGTTCTCAAGAACACTATTCAAGTAAGTCTTTATATGAGACATATGTGGTTAATATTGACTGAAGGAATGATGTAAACATATTCCAACTTGTCTGTTTGTGAAAAGATTCAAAATGAGTTTGTTATCAGTACTGTTTATGATGATAGTATCAAAACTTCTGATGAGTTTTCAAAAGCTGCGAATTATTTAAAGAAAAAATTTGAAATAAAAACTTTCGAAAGAATTGATATAAATAAGTCATATCCATTATGTGATTAAGCAACATTCATTTGAAAAACAATGGAGAGAAACATTAATGAAGAAGAAAACAAAGGGGGAGGGGCAGTTGACAGAAGGAATAGGATGAGGCATAGGTAGAAGAAAATTGACGAAGGGAATTAAATGCGAGGATATTAAATACAAGCAACCTTTATCTTCCCTTCACTGTGCGTGAGGAGCAGAAGAAAGAGAGAGACGAGTGAGTGAGTTGCAGAATACGTGACAAGTTTTGAAGATCATTTAGGTACACAAAACTACTTCTTTTTATCATATTTTCTTTATGAATACTTTTTATATTTAGAGTTTTATATTATTAGTTTCATTATCAAGTTTAGAGAAAATTTTACTGTTTAGATATGAAGTAAATATAGAGTTTTGATAATATATGATCGTAGAAATTTAAAGATACATTATTAAGAAATTTTAATCGGTATATTTGTTGAATGACTGTTTTGAGAATTTTAAATTGAGATTTTAGTTGAAAAACTTGTTATTTAGACATATAGCATGTTTTTACCCATTAAATTTAAGCTAAATAATTTATTTGAGTTATTTAATATATTATTGAGGTTTTAATCGGTTTAAATCTTGAAAAAGTAAATATATATATTTTTAAAATAATTTTTGAAGGCTTGAAAAAAATTGTAAATTGAGAATTTTATGAAATTAAATAAAGTTACAGTTTATTTATAACTCAAAGTGTTTGGTTTAAGGAAAAATTTTAAAGGAGACTATAATAAATAATTGAGAATTTTAATATAAAATATTTAGATTTTGGGTAATAAAAATATATTTACTTAAGTTGTTAAATCTAAATAGCCTTATATGTAAATTATATATCTTCAAAATAAGATTATATCTATTATAAATGGTTAGATTTTGGAGAGTCAATATATCTATGTAATTTTGGTTTAGAGGGTAGTCTTAGAATTTTAGAGTAGTTTTGAAGTACTTTTAAGTTTTATATTGATAAATATTTATGTGCAATTA